AGGGTTGCTCATGGACTACCCCCTTGAAAAATTGTTTGAGTGATGTGTTTTAATTGGGTTTTAATAAGGCATCATATATTTTGGGAAATTGAGCATTTCTGAGAATTCTAAATAAAGAAGGTTAATTGAGAAAATAAAAAAAGCTTTAGCAAAGGAAAATGTAAAGGGAATGGAAATCCCATAGAAAGATCATAGAAATAACATGGAAATCCCATAGGAATCTCACAGAAACCCCATAGAAAGATCATAGAAATAACATGGAAATCCCATAGGAATCTCACAGAAATCCCATAGAAAGATCATAGAAATAACATGGAAATCCCATAAGTATCTCACAGAAATCCCATAGAAAGATCATAGAAATAACATGGAAATCCCATAGGAATCTCTCATAGAAATAACATGGAAATCCCATAGAAAGATCATAGAAATAACATGGAAATCCCATAAGAATCTCACAGAAATCCCATAGAAAGATCATAGAAATAACATGGAAATCCCATAAGAATCTCACAGAAATCCCATAGAAAGATCATAGAAAGAACTGAAATAACATGGAAATCCCATAAGAATCTCACAGAAATCCCACAGAAAGATCATAGAAATAACATGGAAATCCCATAAGAATCTCACAGAAATCCCATGGAAAGATCATAGAAATAACATGGAAATCCCATAGGAATCTCACAGAAACCCCATAGAAAGATCATAGAAACAACATGGAAATCCCATAGGAATCTCACAGAAATCCCATAGAAAGATCATAGAAATAACATGGAAATCCCATAAGAATCTCACAGAAATCCCATAGAAAGATCATAGAAATAACATGGAAATCCCATAGGAATCTCACAGAAATCCCATAGAAAGATCATAGAAATAACATGAAAATCCCATAGGAATCTCACAGAAATCCCATAGAAAGATCATAGAAATAACATGGAAATCCCATAGGAATCTCACAGAAATCCCATAGAAAGATCATAGAAATAACATGGAAATTCCATAGGAATCTCACAGAAATCCCATAGAAAGATCATAGAAATAACATGGAAATCCCATAAGAATCTCACAGAAATCCCATAGAAAGATCATAGAAATAACATGGAAATCCCATAGGAATCTCACAGAAATCCCATAGAAAGATCATAGAAATAACATGGGAATCCCATAGGAATCTCACAGAAATCCCATAGAAAGATCATAGAAATAACATGGAAATCCCATAGGAATCTCACAGAAATCTCATAGAAAGATCATAGAAATAACATGGAAATCCCATAGGAATCTCACAGAAATCCCATAGAAAGATCATAGAAAGAACTGAAATAACATGGAAATCCCATAGGAATCTCACAGAAATCCCATAGAAAGATCATAGAAATAACATGGAAATCCCATAGGAATCTCACAGAAATCCCATAGAAAGATCATAGAAATAACATGGAAACACCATAAGAATCTCACAGAAATCCCATAGAAAGATCATAGAAATAACATGGAAATCCCATAAGAATCTCACAGAAATCCCATAGAAAGATCATAGAAATAACATGGAAATCCCATGAATCTCACAGAAATCCCATAGAAAGATCATAGAAATAACTGGAAAATCTCACAGAAATCCCATAGAAAGATCATAGAAATAACATGGAAATCCCATAGGAATCTCACAGAAATCCCATAGAAAGATCATAGAAACATCATGGAAATACCTTGGAAAACCCACAGGAATCCAATAGAAATTCCATAGGAAAGATCATAGAAATACCATAAAACCCCCATAGGAATCCAATGGAAATCCCATAAGAATACCATAGAACTCCCATAGCACCCCTTCAGAAATCCCATAGAAATCCTTCAGAAATATCATAGAAACATCATGGAGACCTCATAGGAATTCCATAGAAATCCAATAGTAATACCATAGAAATACCATAAAAGAAAAAAACTTTAGCAAAGGAAAAGGAAAAGGAAATGATTGAAAAAATCAAAAAAACATGGCCTCAGGAAAGCAGCTGGACACAATAGTGTACCCTCCAAACAAACCACACTATTCTGTATCAGGGTTGCTCATGGACTACCCCCTTGAAAAAATGTTTGAGTGATGTTTTTTGATTGAATTTTAATAAGGCATCATATATTTTGGGAAACTGGGCATTTCTGAGAATTTCAAATGAAAGAAACTAAGAAAGTAATTAAGCAATTAAAAGAAAAAAGACTTTAGCAAAGGAAAAGGTAAAGGAAATGATTGAAAAAATCAAAAAAACATGGCCTCAGGAAAGCAGCTGGACACAATAGTGTACCCTCCAAACAAACCACACTATTCTGTATCAGGGTTGCTCATGGACTACCCCCTTGAAAAATTGTTTGAGTGATGTTTTTCAATTGGGTTTTAATAAGGCATCATATATTTTGGGAAACTGGTCATTTCTGAGAATTTCAAATGAAAGAAACTAAGAAAGAAATTGATTGAAAGGAAAACACTTTAGCTAGCAAAGGAAAAGGTAAAGGAAATGATTGAAAAAAATCAAAAAGTCATGACCTCAGGAAAGCAGCTGGACACAATAGTGTACCCTCCAAACAAACCACACTATTCTGTATCAGGGTTGCTCATGGACTACCATCTTGAAAAATTGTTTGAGTGATGTTTTTTAATTGGGTTTTAATAAGGCATCATATATTTTGGGAAACTGGTCATTTCTGAGAATTTCAAATGAAAGAAACTAAGAAAGGAATTAATTAAAAGGAAAAACACTTTAGCTAGCAAAGGAAAAGGTAAAGGAAATGATTGAAAAAAATCAAAAAAATCATGACCTCAGGAAAGCAGCTGGACACAATAGTGTACCCTCCAAACAAACCACACTATTCTGTATCAGGGTTGCTCATGGACTACCCCCTTGAAAAATTGTTTGAGTGATGTTTTTTAATTGGGTTTTAATAAGGCATCATATATTTTGGGAAACTGATCATTTCTGAGAATTTCAAATGAAAGAAACTAAGAAAGGAATTAATTGAAAGGAAAACACTTTAGCTAGCAAAAGAAAAGGTAAAGGAAATGATTGAAAAAATCAAAAAAAAACATAACCTCAGGAAGCAGCTGGACACAATAGTGTACCCCCAAACAAACCACACTATTGTGTATCAGGGTTGCTCATGGACTACACCCTTGAAAAATTGTTTGAGTAATGTTTTTTAATTGGGTTTTAATAAGGCATCATATATTTTGGGAAACTGGTCATTTCTGAGAATTTCAAATGAAAGAAACTAAGAAAGAAATTAATTGAAAGGAAAACACTTTAGCTAGCAAAGGAAAAGGTAAAGGAAATGATTGAAAAAATAAAAAAAAATCATGACCTCAGGAAAGCAGCTGGACACAATAGTGTACCCTCCAAACAAACCACACTATTCTGTATCAGGGTTGCTCATGGACTACCACCTTGAAAAATTGTTTGAGTCATGTTTTTTAATTGGGTTTTAATAAGGCATCATATATTTTGGGAAACTGGTCATTTCTGAGAATTTCAAATGAAAGAACTAAGAAAGAAATTAATTGAAAGGAAAACACTTTAGCTAGCAAAGGAAAAGGTAAAGGAAATGATTGAAAAAATCAAAAAAATCATGACCCAGGAAAGCAGCTGGACACAATAGTGTACCCTCCAAACAAACCACACTATTCTGTATCAGGGTTGCTCATGGACTACCATCTTGAAAAATTGTTTGAGTGATGTTTTTTAATTGGGTTTTAATAAGGCATCATATATTTTGGGAAACTGGTCATTTCTGAGAATTTCAAATGAAAGAAACTAAGAAAGGAATTAATTGAAAGGAAAACACTTTAGCTAGCAAAGGAAAAGGTAAAGGAAATGATTGAAAAAATCAAAAAAAATCATGACCTCAGGAAGCAGCTGGACACAATAGTGTACCCCCAAACAAACCACACTATTTTGTACCTGGATGTAATTTTCTGTGGAAGCATCTGGAAAATTTCAATGCTGGAAAATAAAAAGTAAAAGGAAAAAACTTTAAAAAATGAAAAAAACATGAAAAATGTTTGAACAACAAAAAAAGACCAAGACACAATTGTGTATCCTGACACAATGACACAATTGTGTATCCTGACACAATTTTACAAAATAATAAAAATATATAATTAAAAATAAAAATAATTAAATTAAAAATTATTATAATTAAAAATAAAAATAAAAACTAATTAAAGTAAAAATTATTATAATTAAAAATAAAAATATTTTAAAATTTTAAAATAAAATAAAAAACAATTAAAAACTAAAAACATGAAAAAAATGAAAAAAAACTTACACCAAAATCCTGTGGACACAATAGTGTACCCCTCGAACATTTCCAGAGTTACAGAATAATTTTGAGGTCTGTGGACACATCAGTGTATCCCCACACTAATCAGTAACCAACATTACTTGGGAATTTTCAGAGGGAAGTGATGATGTTGAAAGGAAAACATGGGGGATCCCAACCTCCACGCAACTCTCCTATCATCTCCTATCACATGAATGGTCAAAAATATTGAACTTCAGGCCCTATCCATGTCCAAAAAATGGTGTGTCCTCATGGAAGCCACTAAACGAAATGGTTTCTTTGTGTCTATGTGACATTTCCTTTCATCATGCTTACACTGCATCCAAGAATTGTCGCACTGCAGCATGTGCTCCCACCTCCATGGATTAATGGCCGTCTGAGTATGGCCAGCACCTGTAACCTTTGCACAAGATTAATTACCCCATTGAATCTCATCATATCATCTATCCCCATCTCATCAAGTTGTATTATGTTTGTTGGTTACATCCCCTATTTTGCCATTTATGGTTTTAATTGCCATTTGTTGGTATTCTGTTTGGTATGTATTAATGATGCTTTCCCCTATTCATATCAAATCCCCGATGGTTATCCCATTTCAGCTTGTTGTTTTAATCCCCGGTAGATGTTTCACCGGTCGGTCAAGAATCACCCAAGTCGGTCGCCAAGGACAGGACCCCCGTCAGTGGTGGATCTGCATGGTGAGACCATCTCCTACAAGGCCTTGGAAAAAACTGGAAAATCCATGACTTTCTCAGGACATCTTCACTGGAAACTGAAACCCATGGGTTTTTTACCGAGTTTGTTCCATCTAAATCTGGGGTTCCCGTTGCACCTGGAAGATCTGGAAGCCATTACCAATATTAACATAATCCAAGATTGTTTTGGTAAAGGCATGTAAAAGCCATCCCCAAATGGTAGATTTATGGCCAAAAGCGTTTTCCACACTGCGATATTACTGCGATATATATCAAAACAAACATTGGTCAATTTTCAAACTTCACCAGCTCCGTAGTTTGATATAACATGTCAAAAATCGTACACTATCAATGGCCATCTCAAGGAACCGATTGATTGGAGGTAGCTACCACATCTAAGGCTGATTGTTCAGGCCTAAGGCCTAGGGGATATCCCCACAAATATCCCCATAGCCTAGATGTGATGAATCACCAAAGACCCAAATTATATGTTTTGATCTCTTCGTTGATCTCTTAATTTTAAGCATGTTATATACCCATGTTAAAGAAACCCATGCGTTGGTCACCCAGTTTTTGTCCGGATGTCGGTTAAATGTCATGGCGGAGGAACAATTTGTGAATCTGACGGAGCTCATGGACTTCAAATCCTTGAAGTTCACGCAGAAGCAGGTGGAGGTGGCCTGCCTTGTCGAAGGGAAACAAAGCAGGAAAATCACGCTTTTACAATGAAATGATATATAATGAAGTATCATACAGTTACATTTTCAACAATGTATGCAACGTATTTCTTTAAGAAAATACATACATATAACATCTATTTCATGTAAAGCACGCGCATATTTAGACTTCTGGTTCGGAATCTTCGCACCCCCAAAAAACAACGGCGTAGGCGTAGTCCTCAATTTCTTCATGCAATGTGGGGTCTCTCAGTCATAAGTCTATTGATAGACCCATTTATATAAGTTGATTTAGTACAGAGTACCTTCTGTTTTTTGTTTTTAACATAGCTATGCAAGCCATCGCCCATGAAAATCGAAAAAACATGTTTATCATGTGTTCCCCTTTTTACAAATGGTGATCTTCCATGGCAAACGGTTGAAGAAGTAGGAGGGTAGCTACCAGAAACCAACGTCATCGAATGTTTTTTTTCTTTTTGCGCCCCTTGCATGTTTTTTCCCCTGTCACACATGGTACACGTTGATCTTGCTGCTTGATGGTTTTGTTTTCCGTATTGTATATCCACATGTATATACATTAACCTATGTATATTTATAATATATTTCATTACTGAATATTTCATACAAGATTTTTGCCTCCATCCTCAAGTCATGTTTGGCGGAGGGACTCGAACAACACATCAGCCCAACCCAGTTTGGTTTTCGGGCGGGCAGATCAACAGTGGACCCATTATTCTGCATAAGGAGACTTACAGATGTTTGCGAACAAGGTAACGAAAAACTCATTTTAGTTTTCTTAGATTGGGAAAAAGCCTTTGACAAAATTAGCCACAACAAGATGTTCCTCTCACTTGAAAGATTGAATATTCCCAGCGACCTACTTAACGCCATCAAAGCTATCTACATGAATCCGACATTTCAGGTAACCCACAAAGATAAATTCAGTACGTGGCTGCCTCAGAGAACTGGCATACGACAAGGTTGCCCTTTAAGCCCATACCTTTTCATCTTGACTATGCACGCTATGTTTCATGATGTTCAAAAGAGGTACAACGACCCTCGTCATTCCAATTCCTTCCAAGGCATCAATTTCCATGAGCTTCTTTACGCGGATGATACATTAATCGTGGCAAAAAGTTTCAAGTCAGCTGCTAAATACCTTCATTTAATTGAAGAAGAATCTGATTATTTGGAACGAAACCTGAACAGATCAAAATGCTGCTATATCGCGTACAACTGTCAAGGACAAATTCGTTTCCAAAATGGAGAGCCCATGAAATCTTCAGAGGAAACCACATATTTGGGAGCGTCCGTCACGCAGCACATTGACCCTAAACATGAAATCAGAAAGAGAATCTCTGCTACAATGGCCATACTCAAAACATTGGACATCTTTTGGATCAAAACACATTGCAGCAAGAAATGGAAACTACTCGTTTTCAACGCCGTCATCACTTCTAAAGTACTTTATGGTTTGGAAACTTTGGAGCCCACGGAAGCAGCTGGAAGGCTATTAAACACGTTCCAACTAAAGGGTTTGCGAAAAAAATGAAACTACACACCACGTTCGTGCAGCGCAACAATTCCAATGAATATGTGTATAGAAGATCTAATGAAACTATCAACTCGCCATCAGTAGGACCTGGGAGACAAATCAAACCACTAACCGAAATTCTGGAAGACAGAAAACTGAAACTTCTTGGGCATGTCTTGAGAAGGGATAGGCAACATCCACTACACCAAGCTGCGTTCTCCACTAGATCCGCGCTCCCACGGGAAACCGAACACAGAAGACGAGGCCGCCCACGACAATTCTGGACAACTAACAATATGAGTAAAGTAAAGCATGGGAAGTGATTAAGACGCATGATGCTACACAACCGCAAATACCATTCGACAAGAACAACCGATTGATGCGCGAGAGGACTATTGAACAAGCACAGCGATATCAACCCCCATTCAACAAAGGAAACCCAATTTAAAATACTCAATATGAAAAATTGTCCTCAGTGTGACACCTTTACTCAGTGTGAAACTTTTGCTCAGTGTGACACCTTTACTCAGTGTGAAACTTTTGCTCAGTGTGACACCTTCACTCAGTGTGAAACTTTTGCTCAGTGTGACACATTCACTCAGTGTGAAACTTTGGCTCAGTGTGACACCTTCACTCAGTGTGAAACTTTTGCTCAGTGTGAAGTTTTTGCTACATGGAAAGATTTCATTTCAATACCACACCACCAAACAGTGAGCGAGGCCCTAGGTTCTTGATAGTAGGTAGGAAGCGGGTTAGTGCCTACGACGACCTGTGGCAATGTCCATGCTATAGGTTTTGGCTTTAAAAAAACATATTTATAATATATATATATAGATATAATCCTTATATCCTCGTCTATTGGTGTCTATATGTATACGTACCTATGTATCTCTATTTTCGTGCATTTGTCTATCGATCATCAACTAATTGTCAAGCAACCGCGCTAAGAAGGTGATCTTAGAATCTTAGATGCTTTCATGACTTTCAGTGATTCTCGGTTTCCTTGATCATGTTGTGCATGGAGTTTGGCGAGAGAGCGTGACATGGAACAATCTTTGTGCACTCTGTGTGTTTCCACCAGTAGTTTTGGGATAGTGTTTAGTCATACACAACTTGCTTGTTCAAGGAAAGCCAACAAACCACCAAGTCTATATGAACAAATCAAATTGAACATGGATATTGCTGCTGCCAGAGTGTTGGGGGGCTGCTCTATGGCTGAGATAGTCTATGATTCAGATGGGACATCAGAATCCATGTGGAAAAACCTCATCAAACCACCATGTAACCACATAAATGCCACATAAAACTACCATAAAACCACCATTTTGACCATTTTGGGCTAGTCGGAAGCGGCCTTCACCGTGCCCTTCACCGTGCCCTACCAGCGCTTGACCAAGGCCTACACGTCGGTGCGGCGCTTGTTGCGGCTCCAGGTGGCGGAGTTCTTCGGCCTGGATCCAGAGACCTTGCAGCGCCGCGGAGCAGTCGGGCAAGTGTACTGGGGGACCAGTTCGAACAGTTTTTTTTGTTTTTAAGTTTTACCATCTGGTTATTTAACATAGCCATGGTATAGATGGCCCATAGAAATAGATGGTTTACCTATTAGAAATGGTGGATCTTTCCATGGCTATGTTAAGTAACCAGATGGTAATTCATATATATATATATGGTGCCCCCAAACGATAGCTAAGTTGGTGAACATAACTCCAATAACTATGGTTTTTGTTGGTGATATATCTACAGTTAATGGGATTATAAACCAACTTATAACTGGGGGGGGCACCACCTTGTATATATGAATATATATATATTTATGTATACTTATATCATGTTATATCATATATATCATATCTGTTTGGAAATGATATATGTTATATGGGGGATGGTTATGTATCATATCTATCTATCATATCTATTTGTTGGGGAAGACCCACAGGAAACAAGATTTCCTAGGCATGGTAACCATACCACCCATAATCATGGTGATGACTGGGGGATGGTTTATGGCATTGTTTTACCCACATTATCTATCATCTATCTATCTGGTACATCCCCCATAAACCATAGTTATAAAATCTAGATGATGGATTCATATTCCATAAAATTATTATTGTTATATCCATAACTATATTTAAATATATAACCATAGTTACCCATATCATTCCATAAATTGTATGAATATCACGGACTAGTTTTTGGCCAGATGACCTACCTTCCACCAAACATGGGGATTGAAATGAAAACTATTAAATTCAGGAGTAAATATGGGATTAGAAAGGATGTTGATGAGATTCAACCACCAACAATGGGATATATGGGTACAAACCGGGAATTGAATTTAACCAGCAAAAATGGTGGTTTAGCCGGGTTTAATGAGATCATAATGGGATTTAATGGGAACCAACGAAATAACAATTGGATATAATCAGTCAGAACCGGGGAAGAATGCTTAACTTGAGAATAAATAGTACACACATGCAGTCTAATTTTATGTTAACATGCGAGATTCAACCACCAAAGGTGAACCCCCCAAAACTGTTTGGGCTTATTGAGGGCTTATCAACCACCAACAATCACGATTAGAAGGGTTTATCAACAATCTGTTATTGCGGGGTGTCACCTTTGGGAGGCTGGTGCATCTCCATGATCATGCCTTCCAATCAAATCAACATACTGTAGATATAAACGCCCACCATGAATGTACATCATTTCTTTGGGAAAGCAGTGCTTTTTTCATATCAATGTTGGTTTGCTGGAGGGCCGTATGGGGGAAGAGCTAAACATGTGGGATGTGTTGAAGATAAACATATCAACATATGGAGATTGAAGCGGGAAACATGGGGATTGTAAGAGCTCAACAATGAATATGGCAATTTCAGCCCAACATCGTATTTCCAGCAAATGCTTGGTGAAAAGCCCAGAGTAGTGATAGGTATTTGAATGCACTTTGCCAAGAAAACACGGGCGTCATAGGTCTAGGTGGTTGACCCGTTGCGTTTGTAGAAACCCGGCGGAATCGCAGGAACAGCACTGGGCAGGTCAATAAGCCCAAACAGTTTCTGTTTAAAAGTGGGGTTCACCTTTGGTGGTTCATAAGGACTTCTAATAGTGATTGTTATACAGTAGTAGTGGTTAATAATAAGCCCTCAACATTATTCAACATGTGTTTTGGGATCACTGAGGCATGATATGACCTTCTTTTCGCACATCAATGGCAGCAAAACAGCCTCGAAGTTGCAGTGGCGTGCTGGGATGTAGCAGGAGCCTTCAGGCCTAGACTCAGCATGAAGGCAATCTTGAGTGGATTTGGTCAAGGACAGTATCACAATATGTTTGCAACATAGTATTTGTCAATGTTGTATTAATGGCCAAGTTTTTGCTCAAGCATGTGGGAAAAATACGGAGACGTTCTTGACCAGTGTTTTTTGTTCAGAGTCAGAAAGTGGGAACTCTGTTTCATGGGAAAATTAGTCATAAACCATCCCAAATTGTATTTGTTTCAAGGGTTTTCCCGCAAACCATGAACATTTGCCACCAGGAATATCAATTGTTTGGCGTTGGCACCATCATTTTCTTGTAATATTCACTATCAACTCTTGGCGGGTGATATTCCCAAGGTGCCTCTCAAATTTTATAAAGTCAATGTGGTAGTGTTTTTTTTTTAATCACGTTTGATACGGTACAGTCAAGTCATAAGATGTCACAAGAGATAATCAACATCATCAGTTTGGTGGGTTTGATCCCCCCATGGCAGTTCCAAACTGCTTCAAGAAAAAGCAGTTGGACCCAGGCCCGTACGTTGCACGACGATTCTCGGTCTTCGTCCGGAAATCTTCGGTATTCCCAAGTTTCAGGCCAACGCCTTTTTATACATATACCCTCTGGTAAACTAACATACTGTAACTATGGAAAATCAGTTTTTTTAAATGGGAAAACTCACTAAAAATTGCCATTTTCAATAGCTATGTTAAATTACCAGAGGGTAGCCTGTTATTGGGTTATACCCTTACCTCCCAGAGCCGCGACCACGATCATGACACAATTGATAGTTTTTTTTTGAAACATGGGGAAACGCTCGCTAAAGAATGGGCTTTTGGAGTTACAGATTTTACCACTACCCCAGTCATAGCATTACATCCAGGGGTTGCATAGGGGTTGCATGCTCACAAATCTGCCGTACTCCGGCGGTTTCCTCCTCTGAGCATTGTGAAACCCTACAGAATGGTACAGTATAGCAATAGTCGCATTGTACCATTCACTGTCCATAAATTATACTGATTGCACTCCCTCAATTTAAGACAGCCCTTCAAAAATAGGATTTGGAAGATGTATCCATTTGGCATGGCCATCCATGCAGTTTCCATTTTGAAATTCCGGGGGCAAGTGTTATTTAATTTTGTGTTGATGCTGTGTTGCTGTGTGCAAGGTCCTTTAAACATTAAGGATGAAGCGTTCAGGGCCTGGTGGGCTGCAGCCAGTTGCAGATATTGAAAAAAAGTAAGAACATATCAGAAAATAGTATCTTACCCACCAGAGTATCTAGGGGTAGGTATGGTAAGTTTTACCTTTCCGCATCTTTGGGAATTTAAGAAATTAGTATCTTGCCAGAGCATTTTGTGGAAAAATATGGTAAAATTCAGCGCTGCCTTTCCAAGCCACGGCAGCCGTCACGGTCAGCTCCAAGGAGTACTGGCATAGTCACATTGATACCGAGCAGTATGGCACCTTTGCCTTCACCACCTTGTTGTACCTGAACAGTCAAGATGAGGACGAGAGAAGGTGTGAATTTCTTAACGAAACATGACGAAACATGGCAGAACTAAGAGAACTTAGCAAGAGTTGAACATGGAACATGAGGATAGATCAGGGAAACAACATGCTTTCGAATGGGGTATTATCAGATTTTTTAGATAAATCAACATGCTGGGCACTGTTTGCTGTACTTTATAAGATTTTGCCACCAATGGGCATGTGTATATATAATTATATATATATAGAGTAACGACATTTACGACAAGGACCCAGAGGTAGTATGAAACACCCCTACCATCCGTAGATTTAAATGTATGTTTGAATACATTGGATTCCGTATGTTTAAATGGCCGGGCGGGCCAAGGAAAACCTTCCCGGTGGTAGTCTAAAATACCAGTTCGTTTATTAAAAATCCGTATATTCAGATGTAGTTTCAGTGTAAAAAAACTACTGCGTATATGATTATATAATATTATATATATAGAGATGCTGACCAGCATGAAATTGAATGCAATTCAGGAATGGCCATGGTAAAATTTAAAAAACAAGATTTGATGCGTGGATGACCTATTGAACTACTTGGTGGTATATATATTATATATATATATATCATGTGGCATCCCAATGTAGAAATATCATTCAGATGAAGCTTTTGAAGAAATTCGATGTTTGCTGCTGAGTCATTCACGATCATTCAATTGCAGTGTTGAAACACATGCTTTGAGGTTTGAATGTGCTTTTTTCCCTTGCTTCAGTCGTACCCCAACTTCCCATTCAGAACCCCTTCTTATCAAACAAGTGGGTCAAGGAAAAGTCAAAACCTAGATATATTTGTTCATCCATTTCCATCCATTTCCCCTTATTTCCATCCATTTCATTCCATGTCCTATTGCTTCCATTTCCCATCCATGTCCTCTTACTTCCATTTCCAGTCCATTTCCTCTTACTTCCATCCATTTCTCATGCATTTCCATCCAGTTTGACCAATTTGCAGGTCTAACATCCCCATATTTCTGTCATATTTTCCCATATTTTCTGCGCCGGGCCACACCTTCCAGGACTTCCACGGCGGCGAGTTCGTCTTCGAGGCTCACGGCACGTCCTCAGCCGCGGCCGTGGAGCCGCGGGCTGGCCGCGTCGTGGCTTTCAGCAGCGACGCAGAGAATCCGCACAAGGTCGGAGCTGGGTTCGAGCCATGGGGAGGTGTTTCTTCACAGAAAAAATACAGAAAAATGTGGGAAGATAGCGGCATCAGGGGAAAAAAATATTGCATATGGGAAAACTGGGGAAGTGTGGGAAAATTTCACCATAAGACCAAGTTTAAGTAATGAAAATTGTTAAGATTGAGAACTAATTGATTAATTGGGGGTATAACCATTAAACATGGAAAATATAAAGGGGAACATGTCACCATATCACCCAGCTCAATTGATTAAACCTGTCAAAAGTGACAATTTGCTGATGATACCACCCCAATGATCAACATCTTCTAGGGCCTATTAATCCGGGGTTGACATGATATATAGCTCAAAGATATTCAAAGATGCTCAAAGATTGAATGATTTGGATGGTTGGGGGCTTAAATGCCTGCAGGAACGGAGGATTCTATGGGCGATTGGGGGAAGGAAGTTATTTTTAAATACCAACTTCCATCCAGACATGCCTGATTTGGTTTATTTAAGCGAATGTTTGATAACAGGGATTGCTTTACCGGGGGAAAAACTATGGCAGACAAACAAAATGAATTCAAAATGAAGAATCAGGATCTGTGGATATGTGTGGTATGGATGATTTGAGGGGTCAAAAGCTAGAATATTTGTTTTGGGTGGTGCAGGTTCGTGATATGAGATGTTGATCTGGAATGTTTGTTAGTGCATTCTTTTCTATGCTTCCTGGGGAAGGTTTGAAGTGCTAACTTTCAATTATACTTTGATTGAGATAATCAAGTTGCAGCACAGCTCATTTATCCATATCAAGCTTCGTTACTGTAGTGAACACCACCACACCATGCCCGCGCGTATTTATGTATCTCTATATATATATATATGTATAAGAGTAGAATCACTTACACACGCATATCATTGCATATATATATATATATATATGTGTGCATGCACACATATATGCACGATGTGTATATTTTTCTTTATATAGAGATCAATATAGATATACACTATCTATCTATATATATATGTATATATAATACCGTATATACACATGTATTTTCACAACATCTACACACATGCATATGTACATACTGACATAAATGTATATATATATATGTATTATATGTATTATATGCATATTATGTGCAATTGAATGCGCAGGTTAACGGCGGTGGAAATTTGGATCCGTCTTCATCTTCGCAATTGCACTGAATGTAAGTTGCATAAAAAGTTGAATGGGGGTGGGAACCAACCACATTGCAACGCCTGGGCAAAGCCCAAGCGTTGCGCGTATGTATATATATATATATATATGTGTGTGCGTGTAGCCATTTGTTTCTTAAAACACACTGTACATGATTAGGGGTAGTATACCAAATTGATTTGTCATGTCAACCCAGGATTAACAAACAAAACACCCGTTTGCCAAACGGGGCTAGCGGCTACAGTTTGTACTGGAGATCGTAGCTTTATTTTGAGAATCACCTCTCCCAGTGAAACGGTATTTCATGACTCCAGTAGTCACATGATACCAAGGATACCAAATCATTGCGACCCGCTACCTCTCAACTAATAAAGACCATGAGGTGTCACTACCCTGAAGTCTTGGCAACGTCCCTCAAATACGGCCTGAACCTACTGGCGCTAAACGCAGGGAGTGGTGGTATGATCCATCACGAACTATGAATAAAATCATGCCATTCTCTCCCACTACCTTTAGCACCAGCAACTTAAACTTTACGCATTATCCATGATCATCCACAATCATCCAAAATCATACACAATCAACATTGACCACTCAACAATCGTCCATTATCATCTATAATCATCCATAACTTAGTGGGTGCATGGGCCTCTTTGTTTGGGACCCTCTGTGAAGCATACCTAGCTCCCCAGGACTATTTATAAATCATTCAAGACTATATATAAATCATTTAAGACTAGATTAACTAATATGATGTGAAATATATGATATGAACCATGTCAACTAGGGCCAATCTGCTTCACTGCCCCTTTTCCAAGGACAAGGGCTTCTGGAACACCTGGGTTTGTGCAAATATCAAACTATCATTCTACACTTTTTGGGTTGGCTAATTTTCAGTCGATCCCGAATATATTTGACAGAATTGCAATTTCTGAGCAGCTCTTTAGGGTTAAGATTAAAGCGTTGCGCGCATCACAAAACATAGCACTGCACGGACAACATTGACAACATCCAATTTTGTTTGAGCATTTTAAACACATCGTGTTGACATGCCGCACACGCTAAATGAGACATAGCGCCCTAACGTGTCCATTGTTGCACACGGCATCGTGCAGAACGCGAAAACACATTGCAGGTTTCAAGGCGGTGAAACAGCTTGAGAGCCCGAACATGTGACTTTTTTTCAAGACATGAAGGCAACCATTACCCAATCAATCTGTGCAATCCGCGTTGCGAACCACAGCTTCTCACCAACCACATGGTGAATCCCAGCCATATCACACATTCAGGTTTCATTTGAAGCAAGAGCAGGAAATGCACGTTGCGCTTTTCTACATTTTCTCGATGCGCGCTTCCACCATACCATGCTGCACTTCCAACCTCTTCCACACACAGCAGTCACACATCGCAAGCGGCCATGCTCAACATGCTCTACAATGAATTGTAGACTAAAATGAAATAAAGAGGAATTTTCGGATTTATATAGAGTTTGTACATGTATGTGTGATTTACTCCCATCCTGTTGTTGATTTCTCTTATTTGGCTCAAGTTGCAAAACGTTGCGGCTTGCGCTATCGCTGCATTGGTGTGTGCTTCTATGTCTACACTACGCGCTATGAAATATGTTTCTTTCATAGGCCCTACGGTTTTCAATGAGCGCTGCGGACGCAAAATTGCAAACGGTATTTGGTGTAGTCCCAATCCCACATACAGGGCCTCAGCATTTTGAAGTGGTAGAACGGTGACTGGGACCAGCCCACAACCCACTGTCTTTAGATGATGGAACTTAACTATCACTCTAAGACTAGCCTTTTTGTGTACCTGAGGCATATGCGTTTCATTAGACACGAGCGTTTTCGGGCCGGTTTCGCAGAGCCTTCCTGAGACATATTTTGGCCACCGCCAGCAGGCGGCCATCCCAACAAATCCACCAAATCCAACCGGGTTTCGGGTTTCGCGGAAGATTTCCTAGGCCTACCCGAAGTCACTGGCGCCCAGGACATGTATAAATAGCTCGGCAAGGTTTTTTTTTCGGATTTATAAATAGTCCCAAAGATTTTTTCCTCTTTAATTCGCACTTTTTGGCGTTTTGGCCGAAAAGAGAGCCTGAACGGGTCCGGTTTCTTTTTTTGGCAACGGACTATTCCCCCACTGGACCCGGCCAATCCGGCATGTCCTGCAGGATGGCCGCGTGTCCGCAAAGTCAAAGGAGGAAATAGGCGTTTTTTTCAAAACATACAGCGTGGGCAGGGGTACACTGCACGTCTTCCGGGTGAAGGCAAAAGTGTGTTGAACAAGCGAGGGCGCAACGTATTAGATATCCATTATGGACTGATGAAAACACCTCCTTTGATGCAGATCTCAGGTTGGGCTTTTGGATTCGGATCCGTCTGTCTATCGGTCTGGAGGTCTGTCGTCTGTCTGTCTGTCTGTCTGGTACTGCTACCTTTTTCTTTTTGCCGGATGCTTTGTCTGTAAGTTGAAATAATATGGTTGCTGTTTGTTTCTACATCTTGGTTTCACGATCTACTTCTTGTTTTCTTGTTTGAAAATTGAAAAGAAGATGAAGAAAATCATAGTTCGGAAAAGAGGTTAAGCATGTCGTATGATATGCTCTTACTAGAAACCGCTTGGAACCGTTCCGAGCCGTTTATACCTTCTGCATATTAGGTCGTGTTAAAAATAGCCCCAAACCGCTCCGAACCGTTCCGAGCTATTTGTAAAAACCATTTACAAATAGCTTTGAACCGCTCCAAGCCGTTCCAAGCTACTCATACCACCAAAACCTAATTAGTCCCAATTAGTCCCAATTAGTCCTGAATAGTCTTGACAGTATAAATAGTGTTGAACCGCTCCGAACCGTCCCGCGCTATTTATAAACAAGCTTTTGTAAATAGCCTGAAACCGCTCCAAACCGCTTGGAACTATTTCAAAACAGCTAGAATTGATGCTGGGTAGAAACCGCTTGAAACCGCTTGAAGCCGTTTTTAAACAATGGATTTTTTCAAAGAAAATGCAATGTTTTTTTCTTTGATCTTTGAGTGATATATCTTATATTTGTTTGTTGCACAAAACACAGTTATCTTACTAATGATCAAAATTATACAATATGAGATGACATATTCAAACATACACATATTCATAACATATATAAAAATATATTTACTATTTGTGTGAGAACTCAAAACCAAGCAGTGAGATCAGTTTGCAACTGTGGTTTAAATACTAGTGCAAAACTCTTCAGTTCGGGATTGCCACCGAAGTAGTTTATACTTTTGGCTGCCCCATCAGCAAGAGCTGTCTGTGGGAAATAAGGGTGCAAATACTCCACGGCAGAGAGCTTGGAAAAAACATCGTTCCATGTGCGGGCTGTTCCGCTGCTCTTTGCACAGTCCCGCAGGTGTGGCAACCCCCTGCCTGGATCTGCCTCTGTTCTGTGAGGATAGAGGTTTCTATTTTATAAATAGCCCCAACAAATTTATAAATAGTCCCCAGGCCTATCTCTGTCCTCACAGTCAAAGAGGCCGACGCACGCCCTAATCCATAACCATCCATAACCATCCATAATCAAGATTGACCACTTAACACTCATCCATTCAATCATCCATAACCATCAATAATCAACATTGACCACTTAACAATCATCCATTCAATCATCCATTCAATCATCCATGAATATCCATAACCATTCATAATCAACATTGACCACTTAACAATCATCCATTCAATCATCCATGAATATCCATAACCATTCATAATCAACATTGACCCCTTAACAATCATCCACAATCATCCATAACCATCCACAACCAACATTGACCACTTAACAATCATCCATTCAATCATCCATGAATATCCATGACCATCCATAATCAACATTGACCACTTAACAATCATCCATTCAATCATCCACAATCATCCATAACCATCCACAATCAACATTGACCACTTAACAATCATCCATTCAATCATCCACAATCATCCATAACGATCCACAATCAACATTGACCACTTAACAATCACCCATTCAATCATCCACAATCACCCATAACCATCCACAATCAACATTGACCACTTAACAATCAGGTCACGCCGTGGATAGCGGCCTGCGGGCCGCAGGCATGATCAGCATTATCTTCACCATCATCATTATCATCATCATCGTCGTTATCATCATCGTCATCATCGTCGCCATCGCCACATCGTCATCATCGTCGCACCTCGCCGTCGAGCCGACGTGTACATCGTCTGCAAGGGAATTCTAGATAAACGAAGTTAAACATATTCATATGAGGATGTTCAAGAAAAAGATAATGGTCCTATCGTACTCGGGGAGTCTACATTAACATACGCACATTCCAAGAACACCTGACAAGATGACGATGACAATGATGTTGATGATGCTCGCAAGGATATCGAAGACATCGTTGTTCATTCTCGCAAAAAATGATGAACATGATGATGATGATGGTGATGATGATGATGATGATGATGAGGTAACCAAAAGAAGCGGAGACAGGCAGTGCAGAAGAGACACAAAGGACAGGAACAAGTGAACGTTAACATGACCCCCCATCCGTCACGAAGCATCAACGTCATGACGCAAGTGCAAGCGAACATTAATATGCCCCACCCCACCCCACCCCATCCGTCACGAAGCATCAAAGTCACAACGCAAGTGCAAGCGAACGTTGACATGCCCCACCCCACCCCACCTCAACCAAGACAAAAAACCAAAAAATGAGCTTTCACACACAGGCCGCGAGGCACCGCGCCAGCAACAATCATCCATTCAATCACCCATGATCATCCTTAACCATCCATAATCAACATTGACCACTTAACAATCATCCATCCAATCCTCCATAATCATCAGTAACCATCTATAATCAACATTGACCACATAACAATCATCCATTCAATCATCTATAATCATCCATGATCATCCAGTAAGTTTAACTTGCATGTTCACCACATCATCACGCCGCCCCAGGTCCTAAAAGTCACCAAGGGCATTCGGATGGCCCTCACCGCCGCCTTCACCTGCAGTCGCTCGCAAAGATGGAGGTTTTTCACCGGTCACGGTGGGATCAGTAATGGTGGTTTGGTAATGATATGGGAATTAAATGGAATGAACTGCTTGGTGGTTTGGAACATGAATTGTTTTTTCCATATATGGAAATAATACTCCCAACTGAATAAAACTAATATTTTTCCAGAGGGGTTGAACCCACCAACCAGCACTGTTTGGTCATAATGATGGTCATAATGATGGTTAACAAACAAATTTAGATACAAATAAACCATGGTGTCAATTTGTGTGTTTAGGTGTTTTGTCGGATTAGGTCACTCTTGTTGTTCCAATTCCCATATACTTTGAGCATGATTAGTACCTAATACGCACGTTCCATGTAACTGGCCGGATCCACATTCTCCGTTGTCCGCCCGGTCATTTGAAACAAATATATGTAATTAAACATGTGTTCATTTACATAATACCGTATGTAGGATCAATTGACCATAATTGACCAACATTTTCTATAAGGTGGACTGCTATCATATTCAGCCACTTCACCTGTTGCGGAGATTCTCTAGGCACCGAGAAGGCCCTTTCGATCGAGGTGCTGGTTTCGGCGATGTTTTTTTTCTCCCAAGGGAAGTATAGTAATCCCCAAAAAATGCGAAAGAGTATTTGGACGATGGTTAATAGATGTTAATAGCCAGCATTATGACCCCCTTACTTACAATTGGATGCCCCAACATGAAGAGATCCACTGCTAAACCAGGGTCTTTGTGCTGGATTGTTTTTATCGGTGGTAAATGACTACTTGATTCCTTTCCAGTTAACGAATCAACAGCAACTGGCCTCCCAAAGAAGTGCGGTGATGCCATCTGGGAATATATTGGTTTTGCCCCAAACATGGAGCACCTTTCAAATCCAATAAGTCCAATATGCTATACGGCTCCACTTTTGGTACAACCCCCTGGGTGCAAGTTAGAGAGCGGTATGCCAGAATTGGTTGAACTGAACATCTCCCCGAAACCCATAGTTGGAGGTAAAACAATGATTTCCGCCTCCTGTTCTCCCAACATCTTCCAACAAAATCAATCCAATGAGATATAGATCTAATGATATCTAATGTGCGTTTCCTTCCAGGATGTTATGACTTCTATCATGGTGGGTAATTTATAGAAGGAAACTCCATTAGTTCCCTGCCACGGCAGGCCTTTCCGAAACCGAGCCTGGTTGCGAGTGGATGAGAAATGCGCCAAGATCCACTACCCTGAGGTAATCGTGGCAATTGAAAATTCTAGATAAATACTGGATAAACACTAGTTTATAGATGTTTATAGGTTGGGGAAATCATCTATCAATAGTGGATGTTCAATTGCAATTAAATGACCAGAAGGTATAGACGACATTGTGCAATCGTGCTCTCATGTGCATTCATGTTAATGATACAATGAACATAAAATGCCATGACATACCCTATGTTTATTAAGAAAAAGAAAGACTTGGGGCAGAATGAAAACCATACCCTTTGGTAAACAAACATAGCTATTGAAAATGGCGATTTATAGTTGATTTACCCATTAAAAAATGGTGATTTTCCATAGTCATGTTAGTTTTACCGGAGGGTAATGTCAGGGGTGCTCCAACATGTTCCAACAATCTATGGGAAGGTACAAGACAGCCACAATGCCGGGAGAGCAACCCTGTGAGAGCAAGTGGCTGGGATTTGTTTGACCATGGGGACCCATGAGGCCCCATAAGATGTGCATTTGTTGTTGGAGCAAACCCATTTGACATTGACGCAGTTTATATTTGTTCTACATATTCGGATATATTTGGGATGACGATCTGAAATTCACATAATTCACAACATTTAAAGAGAAAGTTCTGACACCTATGACACATGGTGCCGGGCAGTCAGTTGAAACACACCAAGTACAGGACGCCAAGTAGGAGGCCGTGAAGCGAAGAACAAAAGTTGACCTCTTAATTGTAGTACATCCAATTGCGATTCGTTGCACATATTTCAGCATGGCCGTGCCCCGACAGTTTGATATCCGAAGTTGTTCTGCCCGCCCTTTTTCGCAGCTCACTAACATCCCAGATGGTTTGCCCAACCACAGTTAGATGCTGAGATGTTTCTTTTCTGATCCATATGAATATCTGAGAATCGGGTATGTCCCTAATTGAATGGTTTATTATCTTGTTGCCCGTTAAACCTACAGACCCTCCAAGCATGATTTTAGCATGTTTACATTTTCTTGGGTATTTTGAAGGCCTTTTTAACTTCAACAAACTGACATACTACATTTTTGAACCATATACAGTACAAGTCACATCTCAGATGGCAAGTTGCTAAGTCACATACATTCACATACTATAGGCATATATTTCAGGTACCAAAACCGATGAATGCATCACTGTAGATGAAGCCAATGGCTGGGCGGAATTCCGCTGCCAAGCGACGTCAGCCCGAGGTGCACCGGACACGTGTGGTCTAAGCCGCCGTGGTGTTTTTATGACCAATCTAGGGGTAGCTAAGCCCCATGCTACTAGAACTTTACCCATGGGAATATCATTGATATTTTCACTAAATTTCTGAATTGAATAAGTGTTGAATAGAAACCAAAGACTTAAAGGGATGTCTCCCTTTTTTCCCCACCTGCCAGGTGAGGGTTGTTAGATTTTATGTCAGTTGCCTGCTCCTCTCCTCCTCTCCTCTCCTCCTCCTCCTGCTCAACCGCGACCCTCGACGCACAGTGTTCTCTGTCGGACCTCAACCACGACCATCCACGCCCAGTGTTCCCTGCCGGACCTCAACCACGACCATCCCCGCCCAGTGTTCCCTGCCGGACCTCAACCACGACCATCCACGCCCAGTGTTCCCTGCCGGACCTCAACCGCGAGTATCCACGCCAAGTGTTCCCTGCCGGACCTCATGTAGGAAGATATGGGACAAAGAATGTGCAGAAGAAAGTTAGAAAGAATGTCAGACAAGTATGTTATATATTACTTGCAAACTCGCGCGTGTGTGGTAGAGTGACCGGGGCAATGCCACTTCTTACTTTGCAGGTGGCAAAGTTTGAAGCAATCAGTTTGAACAGATGACAGAGTCACTGGGGTGGACAGAGACATTTCCACTTCTGTACCTTTGGAGCTGTTTGCAAAGACGCTTGAGACAGGCAACATCTTACAGCAAGTTACTACAAATTACTTGAAGTGATCTCATGCTGGATTGATGCTTGAGACAGTCAACATCACACAGGGTTTCTGTTGTGTATCACAGCTATGGTGGCATGGTGGATATGTGACATCGATCTGGTGAAGTAACACTGGCATGGTTTTGTCTAGTTTACACACGAGCTTGCGAGCTTTTGACTTTGGTTCAGGTGGTCCACTGGCTTGTTTCAGTCATGTTTTTACAAACATGTTTGACAGGCGGTGCGCTGACATGTTTGGGCATGTTTGTTTGTTTGGCTCAGGTGGTCCACTGGCCTGTTTGGTCATGTTTAAGCAAACCTGTTGAGAGCTCTGGAGTTTACTTCACATGGCCCACTGACATGTTTATATCCTGTTTGACAGACTGACATGCACAATGACCTGCCAGGTGAAACAAATGATTGGGATAGTTAGTTGGTCAAAAGTCCCGTGACAAAAGCTTCAGACAAAAGTGGTGTCAATAAGCTGTTTTGAAATGTCATGGTGGGGATCACTCGAAGCAAAGTAATTATGTTTAATGTATTTTTTAGTTATAGCGAAATGCCACCCCCCACATTGACAAGGAAATGTACTTAATATACGCTATAGCGATCCGATTAGCAAAGCCTGTTGGAGGGACAAAGTCTGTGTGCTTCAAAGGAGCTTCCAAGCAACGTCACCACAAATTATTGCCACCAAGGATGCCGGACATTGGAAGTTTGGGGTGGTCAGGAGATTGGCTTATTCACAATGTGACACTTGTTGGAGATATAATCTCGGATTCTACTCCAGTCATGTGACTATCCAATTGGTGGGTTCATGTGGTTTCAACTTTTGTTGTCTTTTTTGTCATTTGTTTTTTATGTTTCATCCCACCTGGCATGATAATGCAAATTGACTTCCCCCCATGTTCCACCTCTTTCACATGGAAACCTAGGCTGCCAAAGCAGCTCATGAGGCGCGCGGAGTTGAAGAACAGACGCCGGAAGTATTGGGGACTCCCACTTTGGGACATATGTTCAATCATGTTATGTAGTTGCTCTTTTGTTGAATAGATATTGGTTCGTTATTGTTTTTTGTATGCACAGATCAACACACATTATCCAATCTGGGCGTTAGGACTCTCTGTTGATGTGTTCCTTCCATTCTATGAACGCGATCTTGCCAAAGCGCCAAAGCCATCATGTCTGAGTCTAGGTTTTTTGCCTCGGCAATGCCAAACCATGCTGATGTAGGCCACGGATTCCATTGTCACCTGAGCTTGCTGCAGGACTACCAATCCTTCACACGCACGTACTTAGGTGTTTCTATGTACAGTGTATATAATATACAAATATAATATTATGTGTATACTTGTTTTTCTTTGCTTATCACAGAGCCAATGTAAAGGTTAAGTTTGTACTTTGCATGCCAATTCGCCAGATCTAGGTATCACACAACCGGGCTGACGAAGTTCTGAATTATTTTTCTCAGATTTTCCTGGTCATGTTTAGAGTTTAGACCAAGTACACAGATATCATGAATACAGGTGCAACACACACATCTATATATAATATACATAGATATACACATACTTATACATACATACTTATATTATATATACATATACATACATACGTATATCATACATACAAAATACATGTAAATAAATCAATATATATATACTGTATATATACACACATACAATGTATTGTGTTATACGTACGTGTGTGTCGTTTTGTGTATGTGGGTGTGCATGGCCGGTATCGCATTCTCGGCACGACATATTTGGGCTCTGTAGATATAGACGTCAGGATACGTGTGTGGCCTCTTAGGTCTTTGACGCAGGACGCTTCGGTCGTTGGCTGCGCATGATGTCGGGGCCTTGTTGGGAGATGGGCACCCATGAGCGACAGCCATGTCAACTTGGTTCAGACATCATGCATAGATTTTTGCCTCACATTATTGTTTACTTTTGCAGTTTCTCATATACGTCACTGGGCTTCAATAATCCCTAAGCCTTATCTTGTAGTTCATAGCTAGGCCGCTACGCCCGGTCCAAACGCACACCTTGGGACATTGATTCTTACAAGATGTTCCTACGCATCGGGATGATAAACTGCCCGAATCCCATTGATTAGTGAGAAGTACTACATACTCTATCGATTTGGAACCGAAGTCAATAGGAGAATGGGGAAGTGTTGTCATTCTAAGTAAATACATTAGGATCGATTTGAATAGACTTTTACTGCATATTTCTCACATCTTCTCACGATACATACACACACACAGACGTACGGTATCCAGGTATATACATATAATTTATATATATATATAGATACAGTACGGTATAATACCATATGTTACTATATATATATATATATGTATACATTATGTCATTATGTGCGTTTGTTTTGCATAGACGTGCACACACACACATATATATATATACATATGTAGACTAGCTATATACATATATACATATACACTGATATTGCACAGATGTGATTGTAATTGTGCTCTCAAGCAACTTAAGCATCTTAATTAAATTTTTTCGAAACGTAAATAAGTACATTTGATTACTGTACATGTAAATCCAGATTCTGATTCAGATTTAGTTAGATGCAGAGTGTGATTTAGATTTGGATTGATGTTCAGATTTAGAGTCAGACTTATATAGAGAGATAGATAGATAGATAGATAGATAGATAGATATATATATATATATACATAGTAGACCAGGATTTTTCTAACACGTTCCCTGGCAGGTTGGTCTCTTTCTACACGGATGAGGAGGCCGTGGTAGCCGATCTCCTGTTCGGGGGCCCTGGAAAAGGCCTAAAGATGAGGATGGAAAAACATGATGTACCCAACCGAAAGGGTGATTTAATGGAATTTAACATGATTTATATTGATTTACCCTAGGGTACGTTCAAAATGTGGAAAACCCATGCTGAAACCCTAAGAAAATGCAGTACAAATGCTGGATTTTCATGGATTTTCCACATGGAAATGTTAGTCTATCGGGTGGTAACCATCTAAAATGGGGATATAGTTAACGGTTAACGGATATATATATATATATGGACGTATATGGGAATGTAATATGTTTTACCATCAACAATATGGATTTATTATGATATTTATGATTTATTGGATTTTACGGTATTGGACATGTCTATGCAACAATATTTCAAACAATCGAGCTGGCTTGGTCAGAAATCCTGTGAACATGATGTCAGAAACACTTCTCTTTCCAAATTCCATGTCACACGGCGAGCATTGTCCAACATGCCTACATTGCTGCCCCATCTCTATGTTTATGTCAGATCATGGTGTCCTTAGATTTCAATGGCTGATGGTGTGTCTATTATTTCTCGGCCTGCAATGGTCCTCAGTGATATGAACCTCGTTCGGCAAGTATTATAAGGATGATTTCTCACATTTTCTCACATAAAAGCGGATATAACTATTGCAAACCACTATATTTTACGATAGGTTGAAGCTAGTTGAAACCTTAAAATCTTCGTGGCACAGCTTGGGCTCCAAGAACAAACAACGTCGCCCCAGCACTGTCGCTGTAGACATGTCAGGCACCATGGATTCGATGGGGGGGTAGGGGTCGAGAATGTTGGGTACCATTTCACCATTTCTCTCTAAAACCTCAACCACGTGGTTTTCACATGTTTTATATAAATGTTTTAAGCAGATTTGAAGATCTTGAAGATGCCTGGGCTGGGACAGGAAAGTCTCAGAGTTGCCTTCCACTTTTCGGACCTGCGGCAGGCGGCTACAGCAACGGTCATGCCCCAAAGGCACGTCGATGCTCGTCACCAACACTCCCCAGAACCTTTGATTTAGCATCTGAAAAGATATTTGATATTATTTGATGATATCTGTAGATATCTGTAGGTAAACGGAGCTATAAACAGTTTGGGATACCAGTTCTTTGGGTGTGAAAACTCATTGGAAAGATTATGCTTTTTGAATATGGCCTGCCGATGGCCCTAGGGATGACCTGAAATCCCCAGGGCCCTGGCAGCCTTTTTTGGCTGCACACAGAAAGTCGCGTTGCGTTCGCCTCTGGTAATTTGTCAGAGTTTTGCTATGGTACCCTCTGGTAAATAAACATAGGCCCTGAAAATAGCCAAGTTTTAATGGAAACTAGTCTTCCAACCCCTATTTGTGAGGGTCTATGTTAATTTACCAGAGGGTAATTCACCATGTTTAGATATATGTTTAGTTCATTCTTAGCTCAGCTCATTCATCCAAAAATGGGACATCCGAACTACCACTTCGCAAAACTGTTCTACATATTCCCAGAGGCGTTTCCACTCCCGTTTTCCTCCGTTTCCATCCTCCCCTGATTTTTCTGCTGCGGGCCACCTAGGAGAGTATGATCATCCCATTGCCATCCTTGGAGCTGGGATGGGCGGCCTCATGACATCCCTTGATTTCTTGAGGCCGGTAGGAACCGGGAACCGACAGAGCTGGGACAACCAGGCTATGACCAGATAGTCAGACAGATTCCAGCATTGATTTGTCACTTTACCCTTTGTAAATTTGCTCAACCAAGAACAACATTCTTGGGGGACCTGCTTTGCCAAAATGTAGAATCAATGTTTTTTTCTTTGAAGAGGAGACTTTCCTTTTGCTGCATTATGTGTTTATTGCCTTATCGCCGTTGACAAACGGAGATGTCATGTCCAATATATGCTCCTCGCCAGTCCAGGCATGGTCGAACCAATTTCGTCATTCTGGAGCGTCACTTGGAACATGGGGTGCCCCCCGGGGTACAAATCCTTCACTTGGAGGTACATTAAGGTAGCTTTTGGGTGCATAATTTGCATTATGCAGCAATGTTTTGAAGTTATTTGAAGGCTTTTTTGAACACCATGTTGTCAACCATGTTGTCAGTACCAAATCTTACAGTATATCGAATTTATGCAAAGTGTTAAAGTCAAGTTGTGGGTTCTTACGGATCTTAAAGGTGTGAAGAGTTTCACTCATATCATGCGGTCATTGACTGGTTTTTGTGCTTAAAATGGGGTTCTATGGTGCTTTCCAGAAGGTTGCCACAATAAGCCTGGTTCTTGTGGCTTCATTTTTTTTTTGCATCCGATGGTAGGCACATTTTACATGCTCAACTCCCTGCGTAGACCCTAACACCCTAAAGCCCTAGATCCTGAAAGCCTAATGTCAAAGTCAGAAAATAGATAGTGGTGGTTCATCCTCTAGTGATGAGCATGTAATATTGTTCGGGTGTGTTGGGAGGTGGGCGAAGGTAGGGTCTGGTGCGAACTTGTTTACAGTAGCTGATTGTATCATTGTACAAGGGGCTGATTAGTTCAAACTCACTGTAAACAGCTCGCGTTGCTGTTTGAAAGGTGCATGTAGGTATGGTGACTCTGCACACATGTAGAACTAATTACAGACGCACACACACATATATTTATCATATATATATATATTTATATATTTGCATAAATGCATATATCCTAGAATAGGGGCACCCCCAAATCATCCAGTTTAAGAGGATTTTCCATTATAAATCATCCATTTTGGGTACCCCCATTCTAGGAACCCCGCATATATATATATACACATAATTATATAGATATGATGTTTCCTATAATTATTATAAAGATATTACTATACATAGCTAACAATATATAGAGAATGGAATAATATTGTTAATACAATGGAATACTATAGTTATATACATCTATTTTTCCATAGTTCGTGGTAACCATGGCTTCTCTAGGCTACGACTCCTTCGGTGGCACCACCTGGCGTGACGTGGCCAATGAGACGACCAAGCTGCAGACGGAGAAGGCGCCTATGAAACCCGGCGCCTTTTCATAGGGAATGGGAAAAATCTGGAAAACATATGAATATAATTGAATATATATGATATTATGATGAAAAATATGAAAAAAACATGGTTCACCGCCTGGTTTTTTTCATAGGAAAACTAGTGATACACCACGATAAAATAGCATGATATACCTTGAAACAAAACATTGGGTATCCTAAAAAATCCATTATAACTTGGGGCTTCCATTCTTGCAGATTAGCAGCTTGCTTCACCACCAGATTTAAGCGTAGATTTGTATATTATCAACCAGGAGGTTAACGGGAATAAAGGATTTTCTGATCTACCCATTTGTATACCATATATTAGCAGTTAAAATATGATTGCCCCATACAAAAGCCCAGATACCGTACCCTTTGGGTATGTTTATTTATCGATATTGATCGCCTATCTACTCCAAGATGAGACTAATTTAACTTCGCGATGTTTTGCATGCCCCCAGCCCCACCAAAGAGGCGACACTCATCAGATGCGCATCTCACTAAGGAAGTGGCTGAAAGCCATACTTGTACTTTGGAAATAAGTTTGTTATATAACTATGTTTATAATTATTGTAGTATCGATATACATATATATATATATATTATGTGTGTATATTAATAACATGTATGTAACCCAATGTAATCCACATACATATATGCACATGCGTATATATATATATATATGTATACATAGATATGGAGAGCCCCAGTTTCATGCAGGTGATGCACCACTCAGACCTTAGATACACCGCATACGTCACACCAAACACACCACGCCACTGACGCCATGCGCACAGGGAACCTACGTCCCAGAGTACTTGGATCCTGCAGTGCACTGCCCCGAGGACTGCAGATGGCATTTGTTGTAGGGACGGGCGATGCTGGAACTTCGGACGGCCAGTAGCTGGTTTACCATCTCGTAAATTGACATAGACCCTGAAAATGACCAATTTATAGTGGAAACTAGTCTTCCAACCCTATCTGGCAGGGTCTATGTTAATGTACTGGAGGGCAATAGCGATTTATATTGCAAGAATGATGGATGAATGAATTGGATTTACCTCTGGTAATCAAACATGGCAATTTTTCACAAATCTCCGAACTAAATATAGGTTTTAGTCGAAAATCATTTATCGTTTCCCACATAAAAAAATGGTATAGTACTAGATATTACTAGGCATATCAAAAAAAACATGTATACTTAAGATTCCCTGATCGGGCATGTATATATATATATATATATATGTATGTATGTATGTATATATGTATTTACATATATATATATATACATACTATCAATCATAACCACGGCCCTGAAAAGTCCCAGGACATGAAGACCTGGCCCAGTCGCGACTCCATTCTGGAGATGTGTGTGGCCTGCGGGGAACGACATGGCCTCGATGAGAAAACCAGGCCCGGGATGTTGGGATCATGGGGATGGGATAAAACCTGTGATTCGTTGTCCCATGATATTAGTCTAAACTATTGAAAGAATAGTCGAAAACATCACAGAATATCGCAAAACAAACAAAATTACAGGCTATCGCGATGAATTGAACACATTGATGTTCCATGTCATCAAGTTGTGTGTTTTAGCCAGGTTCAACACCTCGCTGGAGAAATTGGAGGTGAAGGGCGACACCTTGAATGGGGGGCACTATGTGCCTTGGCGACACGTTGTCGGAATCGAGTGGAAATGGTGATTTCATGATGTAATGGGTATGCAACCAATGATGAATTGGCGAGTGGTTTCTAAGATGTTTTTTGTTCAAAGTTATGTGAGAGCAGGATCCCCTTTGACGGTGTATATATATATATATCATAATTTGATAGATTTTAGGGGTTGGAACCACCTACTAACCAAGCTGTGTCCTTAACCAGTGAGTGGCAACATTTGAGCAAGCAAGGACATGAAAAGGGATGAGTTTTAACTGAACCCGACTGAACCCTCTGCGGCTGCATGAGTTCTGACATATCAATGACATCAAAGACACACAAGGGCCAGAGAAATTCATATGGTAAATTTTGGCAAACCCGACAGGGAATCCAACCCCAATGGTTTACCACATCATAGTTCTTCAAAGATGACTCTTTGGTACTCAAACATGGCTTGCTGGAAAATCCCTTGTTTACTTCCATGAGTTTCCCATGTATGCTGATTTAGCTCGCAGATTTCCAAGCTGTCCATGTTTGATGACACTGGATGGTAACCATCATTTTTGGTGGCTATTATGAATGATTATCCCATTCTATCCATGGAATGACCCTATTGTTTCCCATTGTTTTGTTAGTTGAACCAGTTGAACCTTCCAATTTTCCAACCGGGTAATCCCCTGTGATTCATGGCACGGTATCATTTCTCATGCCATGTGTTGCTGGTTAAAATCCATCATTATCCATGTATTGTCCATCTCTATATGTGTTGATGATGTCCTATTGATGTGGGTAAAGCAATCATAAACCATCCCCCAGTCATCACCATAGGTGGTATAGACCATTCCCAAATGGGTGGTTTATGGCATTGTTTTACCCACATTATTGACGATTTCCCCAGTCTTCAACATGTTCCCTCTGGTAATTTAACATAGCTTTTGAAAATCACCATTTATAGTGAATTTTCCCATTAAATGATTTACCCATTTATGGCATTGTTTTACCCACATCATATCCCCAATGTTCATCCATGTTCGATAGATCTTGGTGAACCCAGCGATGACATCAGAACCTGAGGAGCTGCACCTGACCACGGAAGACGCATCGGAGACGTTGAAGGCGGACGTCGTGACATCGTGTGGGAAAGCCAATGCCATAAAAACCTCCCGTTTTTTCAAGTGAACATTGCAATTTTTAATGGGACAATCAACTATAACAACTATAAATTGCCATTTTGTGGTAATTTTGGGGATGCTTCAAATTATTGGGGTACAATTATTCAATATTATTCTTATTCCTCACCAGCCGGAGCCAATGACCTATGATGACCTATGTCAAGCCCTAAACCTGGTTTGTTGACTGTTGACTTGGTGCCGCTAAAAGTCAGCCATTTTCAGGGTCTATGTGTTATTCTGCCAGACAGACTCGAAAGTATTTCCGTGGGTTGGTCTAAAACTGGGGAATATAATTGAGAATTGGGATGTTACCCTCTGGTTATTTAACGTAGGCGGGAGACCCTTTCTAAGTGGTAGGTTGGCAGTTCTCTAAACATACTGCGTGACATTTTGAACCATTTCGTTTCTCAATTTGATGATGTATGTTTACATTTAAATATACATATATATATATATTCACATAATACGGTTACATACCTTCTATGTGCGATCAAACTGTGCCAAAGTCATAAATAAATATACATATATTTATACATATCTAAAAATGCATAATGAAATTAGTCCGAGGTACTAACTATTACCCATATTCATTTATGACTAATTTTATCAGCATTATGATTTCTACAAAAGTACAATGTATATACGTATATGCGTATATGCATACATACCTACATACATACCTACCTACCTACATACCTATATACCTACATACCTACATACCTACATAACTACATACTTACTTACTTACATACATACATACATGTATAAAGTCATACATACATACATACATACATACATACATACATTCATACATTCATACATACATACATACACACATACACACATACACACATACATGCATGCATACATACATACCTACATACCTACATACCTACATACCTACATACCTACCTACCTACCTACCTACCTACAGAATCCTACAGACATACATACATACATAAAGTCATACTTATGTAATATATACATAAAAATACACACGCATATATTTATATATACATAAATAACGTCATACATACATACATACATGCATACATAAATACATGCGTAGATACGTAGATACGTAGATACATAGATACATAGATACATAGATAGATAGATAGATAGATACATATATATAGTTATTGATTCTTTTCAAAATCAGTTGACATCCTTCAACTATGCGAATCAATGCTCCGGTGTGCCCTTACCACGCCCCAGCACCTTTTAGGTGAGCGCGTTGATTAGCTGTCCAGGCCCGGGTCGGCGAGAAACTGTAAGTGTTACCCATCAAAATAGGCTGTCCACCCAAAATGGGATACCATGGGAATATAAACAACAAACGTTTCTGTAACTTAACAATTGTTTATGGGAATGCAGAAATTAACTATGAACAACACGCGTTTAGGGAACTTGACAACTGGAAACTCTGTTTGATATGTCTGCAGTTCATTTTGTCTTTTTTTAAACCAACTTATGACATTTGGGGAGCCCTTTGTATCAATATGGTGGAGCGTCCAGACATGGTATCCGGCAACCCAAAACTGCACCCTGGAGATCCCTCGAGATCCCTCGGGATCCCTGGAGTTTGGAATGCTCAATGTTCACACATCCATACCCTTCGTGTAGATAATTTGGTTGGTGGTTTGGAACATGGTTTTTATTTGTCCATTCAGTTGGGAATGTCATCATCCAAACTGACGAACTCATATTCTTCAACCAATGAAAGTCACTAATATTCTAATAATCATCCCAACTGACGAATATTTTAATAATCATCCATATTCTTCAGAGGGGTAGGTCAACCACCAACCAGATTTGGATGACTTAGAATGGCCTCACAACGTCACTGGAATGATGGGAATTGGATTCGGGGAATCATCTTAAATGGCAATCCCATCGGTCACATAACGCCCTCAATGTTTGGTGCACAATAATGAATAGATTCAACACCAAACCGGATTGAGCATTTCGGAAAAGGGACGATTTTGTAGAACCACCAAAAATAAGGAACACTGTTTGGCGTGTTAATTCCATACAGATTCAGGAAATTCAGTATCCTAGATGTGTATATCAAATCGCTGCATGAGGACAACGTGAAACAACACAAAAATGCAGCAGAAAGATACTATCTGAGGCATTTGGAGTCACATCACTCTTCACCTGGTTTTCTCCATGAAACTTGCCATTTTGGGTAGTACCCAAGTTCCAGACCCACGGGCCATATCGGGCCGTGGCCTTGAAATTTGGCTCGTTTTTTGAGCTACGAATTGAGTCTCTCAATGTCTTAACTATGACAGTTACTGAAAAATGAAGAGATTGAACATCTGGAGTATGAGAATGAATGGGGGGGCCCGCGTTTCTGTTATTGGATTAGGCCGGCATCTATGGTGGTCCTGGTTTTTTCTGCTAAAATTCGTGTGTCTTGGGACGCCAATCTCATTGTGGGATGACCCGAGCCATTCACAAGCTCTATTTGAAGACAACGTTTCGTGGTTCCAATGGTTCATTTAGGATTACTATGGATTACGCTCATTTTCATATATTTTCATATATGTTCATCATTTTCTCACCTCTTGGCCAAATAATTCGAATATGTCATTTGTAACATGACAATTGGATACAATTGGCACATATGATACATACAAAAGTACGAGAAGGCGATGGAGAGAGAGATTTCCAGGTACCTTCTACAACCCTATCGACATCAAATGGCCCGGTCGCGATGAATTTGGTGGAGCCTTGCCCTTTTTAACCGGGGTCCATGAGGAGAAGAATGGAGGATCAGAGAACATAGACCCTGGATACGGAAGCCTACTTTCCTCAATGAGTGATTGGTTGGGGTTGATGTGGGGATTGTAACTTGTAAAAAATCTTTTTGGGTGTGACGAAGCCCGAGCCCCTAAGGCAATCAGATTGAAGAGTTGGAGACCTGGAAATATGAGGAAAATGATCGATACGATCCTGGAACACCCTTCTGGCGGTTATGATTAAACACTTTCTCTCTGGTAATTTCACATGAAAATCATGGAAAATCACTATGCTTTGTATATGGTTAAATCATCTATGGATGGGCCATGTATACCATAGCTATGTTCGTTGAAAGGAGGGTGCTCCCCCTCCTTAAACGATAAGTCTAAATATGTTCCTACTATTTGATTCGCGTTGAATTCTAGAAAAATGTGGGAAACCCACTCATAAACCATCGCCATTCACCAGAGCCTAAAATGGGGGTCATTTTAACATATTTGAAATCCTCCTAGCTAGGAGGTGTACCTAACAGACTCCAATTGGGGGATGGTTTAAGCAAAACTTCGATCCCTTCCCAGGCTATGTTTGCCACGGTTCCTACGACAGCATCAACTATGATAAGCTGAAGGACTTTAGCCGCAGCGGATTTGACCATCACTAGTGCTCACGGGATTTTACGGGAATTATATAACAGGATTTGATGGGGATGTAGTGGGGATATGATGGGATATATATATATATTTATATATACATATATATATATATATGTATATATGTATATATATATGTATACATGTATATATGCATAACTACACACAGACACACACATATATATATATGTATACATACATATATATATATACACATATTGTTAATTATATACCATACTTGCATATATTATTTTATGTATATACCACACTATAGCTATTTGTTTCTTTTTCCAGGAGGTAGGACTTGGAGGCATCCAAGAAGTTGAATGAATGGTCAGTCAAAGAGCTTTCGAACAGCGAGCTCTTGAATTGGTTGGACTTGTTTCAACGGACGTTTGTGTTGTATTGTGGGTGTGCATGTGTATGTAAACTGTATGTATGCATTTATGAAATGTACAAAAAAGATATGCCGTGTGTATATTATATATATATAGTAGTTGGGATATAGTGGGTTCATAGTGATTTATAGGGACGCCTGCTGCCGATTTTTGCCAACCTCAAACTTCATTCCATTACCTGTCTATGCCGATTTTTGCCAACTTCAAACTTCATTCCATTACCTGTCTACCTTGTTTAGGCCTGGCCAGCTCGCTATTCTCAGTGGCAATGTTGTCTTGCAGGAGGACACACATATTATAAATATTGTAACAGTGTCTGAAACTGAGGGCGCCCAAAATGGCCATTTGAGTAGTGCCAAAAGTGATAAACATCATATAAACACATGTGTTCATGGGTGCAATACCCTAGTTTCGGACACATCTAAGCGAGTCTATCCTCCAGCAATTCATTTTATGGACAACTCACCATTGTAGATCATTTTCCAAGGAAAACATTGGCTTTGCATGAGACTATGTTACCATATGCTACCTTTGAATCCAGATGTGAATGATCATGTTCCCATATGTATCACATGTTCCCATATGTTCCCATATTTTCATTGCCATTTGGGAGTACCATTTTCAGATCCAGGATGCCTCCGTTTGCATCGTGGGGCATGGCGGCTTCACCATCGAAAATGTCCGGACCTGTGTGGAGCGGAAGTCCAAGAAGGCCGCCAGCCACCCGTTGTTCGGGCCACCGGCCGCCGAATCAATCTCTGTTTTGGTGTGCGAAGCCACGAAATCAACGGTTTTAATATGTTTCAATGTAAACAATTATTGTTTTGACCAGTGTTATTTAACATGGCTGTCCAGCGCCAAATGTCATCAAATGTCCATGGTGTATTCATGGAATGACGTTGATGTTGAAATACAGATGGGATCCAGAGAACACAGAGAGGTGCACCGTCCAAGTCTCAGTTTTAGTTGGTCACCAATTTCATCCAACGTTTGCTATCAAATCACCATTGACAGTCATCGTGTTTTGGCAAATCATGAAAACTGGTTGGTGGTTTAGGAACATGTTTTATTTTTCCATTCAGTTGGGAATAATCATCCCAACTGAAGAGCATATTTTTCAGAGGGGTAGGTATACCACCAACCAGAAAAAATCATGATTTTCACTTGCCACAGCAGCTTTGTTCTTAGTTTCTGGTGAAATCCCCATGTTGATCAATTTCGCGTGTAAATTCCCCGTGATTTGCCTGTTCCGATCCTCCAAAAGTGGCTGAAACATGCTGAAACCCAATCCTATATTGTTCTCACATGCTCTTACTTCAATCATCCGGCAATTAAACATGGCAATGACATGCAATGGCAATTTCACCATAGATGTTTTTCACATTCAAAATATTTAGGCCTCCATTGTTTTCATTGATTTTCCAGCTTGCCCACGTTTACCGGAGGGTAAACCCATTGGAACCACCATTCAAATCCATTCAACCTTCTATTTGGGGGGATATCCATTAGATCCCCATCAAAACACGATGCAATCCCCAGAAGAAACCTATTTTCTCCGGGTTTTTTTCCACGGTGAAGCTCTTCGTTGCGCAGGTCTACGTGGTCTGTCGCCACCGCCATCTCGCCGGGCCGAAGATGGTCTCGTGGATGGTGAGCGGCGCAGCGGTGCCCTTGCCAGGTGGCGGCAGCCCTGCTTTACCTGCGCTATTTTTATATATAATACCTGGATATTAATTGGATATTAATTGGTTACAATATATTTAATATATATATAGTTATTCTTATTATAGATAGTTTTGTTTATTAAACATAGTTTTATATCTTATATATATATATATAGTTATTTTGATTTTATATAAAGTTAGATTTATTAAATATCGCTTTATATATATTATATATAATTGTTGTTTTAATATATAGTTATATTTATTAAATATAGTTATATATATATATTATATATAGTTATTTTTTAATATATAGCTATATTTATTAAACACAGTTTTATATCTTATATATTTATAGTTATATTTATGTTAATATATATATACACTTATATAATGTGTTTATATGATTTGCTAAATATGCATCCAGTTTCTTTTGGAATATCCACATCTTGAACGGTGATTTCACTGGGAATTTAGGTGGCTTGTTTGGCCAGCTCATTTCTGGGGATAACCTAGTTGTACCATCTGGTTATGACTAACAGTTCGCCATGGTATAGATGGCCCATTTATTGATGGTTTACCGAACTTAGACATGGTATAGATGGCCCATAGAAATAGATGGTTTACCGGTTTACCTATTAGAAATGGTGATTTTCCGTGGCAAATTGTGAGTCATAACCAGATGGTAGTTGGAATACCACCAGTGCAAAATGGTGTGTAGTCCAATTATCGTCAGCTGATGTGATGAGTTACGCTGTATCCAGCCTGTATCAAACAGGTGGTGTCAGGTGATTTTATTTGGATTTTACTTTTTGATTTTCATGGGATCCATTGGGATCTAGTGATACGGATTTCATTGGACATAGTGGAGTTTTAGTGGGATTTAGTGGCATGTGTTTTATCAAACATGGCTGGCTCGTAAATTGATGAGAAATCCGTGGACTAAATGGATGGAGTTTTAAATGGAAACATCTTTGAACTAGATAAATGTTGCCATGTCAAACTACCAGGGGTTTTTTAGCCAATAATAAGCACAAGGCCATTCGCGCCATTCGCAGTCATGGCGGGTCAACTCTATGGAAACGGAGAATTTTGGGTACTGGGATGATGCTTAAACTGACCACACTTAAATGGTTCATCATAAATGATTAGCCTCTGGTTATGACATTCACGGTTCGCCATGGTTTTTCGATGGCCCATAGAAATAGATGGTTTACCGGTTTACCGAACTTAGAAATGGTGATTTTCCATGGCGAATTGTGAGTCATAACCAGATGGTATATATTGAGGATTGTGTTTTTTTGGGGGGGAGGGGGGTGCAGTCACCACATTGCTTGGTTCCGTGGAAATATGACATCACCAAGAAAATACTTTTTAGTTGATTCAATGGATTGGTTTTCACGGGAAAATTTACAGGAAAGGAAAGCCACATATTTAATGGGAAAATCAATGGTTTCCTGTAGATTTTCCCTTAAACCAATCCATTGATTGATGGTTAGTGCAGGGAATCATCTCAAAGATTGCCTTAAACCTCGGCTGGTGCTTTTGAAAACAGACCTATTTGTCTTGCCAAATAGGTCTCGTTTCCTTCGTTCTGTGATGATAATGCATCCCAAGTGGATTGCATTTTCTGGAACAGATGGAACATGTTAAAATATGTTGTAGAAAAGAAATTATGCCAACAAGGTCAAGACCAAGCAACCGTCTCCGAATGTGGATTTTCTTCATTTTTTATATGTATATTTTCACCATGTCACGAGCTCACGGAACCATAGACGTGGCTTGGTTTGGAGTATTTCACCATACTTGTTATGGGCTACCCATGTTTGACAAAATGTCAATGGGAATTCCAGGATCCTAAAAATGGAGGGACTGTACCATATAAGGCAATATTTTGGGGGTATATCCCCTTACATAGCCCTTACAAGGGTCTTATATATGCTCAATTTGGGTTCCTGGAATGGCCATTGAAAATACCTATGGAGGAAGGATGAGCAACAAACTTGGGAAACAATCAGAAAGCAACCTAGTGTCGGAAGCCCAAAAAAATCTTGCTGACTGACTAGTACCGAATCTTAATTTGCTCTTTTTTGGGGACCTGTACCAGTGGATTCGCATCAGACTTTTCATGCTTCCACTCCAGAGGTGCCTGCCCACAAGCTGACCTCCCACAAAATGGGCCCCAACATACAAAGATGATAGATCCCTATATTAAGCGATATATAGCGATTGTTCAGTACCATCAATCCTCCAAGTTTCAACAAAAAGCCATGGACATATATCGAAACACACCCCGTTGGATTTTCGTACGGATCTTCCCGTGGAACTCTTGGAGGACCTTATGTCGTGGAAGCTTTCCAAATGATGTATAGCTTACTGGGTGTGGATGTATGGGCGCATCCTGTGGTGATGCTTGGCGAGACGATGTGGGCCGGCCCAAAACAAGAGCTATCTGATGGTTTCTGGGTGTTTCTGTGGTTTAGTTTCCTATATAACTCGTGTTTTGGGTAGTTATATCCAGTTCGTTAGATGGGTTTTTAAAGCTACTTATAATTGGAGGGTCCCAGCTTGTAACCCCTGGAAATTGACCAACCCTTCCGCCTCAGGAACGCGAATGCAGATCGCAGCAGTGCAATTCTGACTCAGACCACGACTTTTGGAGTGACAGATATCTACTTCCTGGCCTGCTACTACAAGGTGCGAACGAAAATAGTTGGAAAGGCTCATGGTCCAATGTGTCCAATACAAATCAATCCATTGAATTCCATTGATGTATATAATCAACATTAATTAACTACCATTGTGTTTGAAATGATGTATGATATGTGTGCCTTTCATCATCCTTCAACATCCGTCATGTTCCGCCTTAAATTTTAGGTTTGCGAGATTGTGAACGGCGAGATCGAAAAGCTGAGCAAAGGCAAAGTTGTTGCATGGCGCGTGGGGGATGGGTTCGGGGTGAATACCAAGCCTGGCACCTCTCCACCAAGCGATGCGGAATACTCTCTGGTAAACAAATATATGGTAAACAAACATAGCTATTGAAAATGACCATAGAAATAGTGGATGTTCCCATTAAACATGGTGATTTTCCATATTTTTTGTATGTCTACCAGAGGGTAGTGTTACATAAATGTTATAGAATGTTATGGGATATGAGATGGCACCATTTTTATTAAACTATATATATATAGACGAATAAAATTACCCTTTGGTAATGCCTTACAGTTTGCAAAAGGAACAGTTTGCTGAGGTCTTGACGGACGGCAAGGAGCTGGAGTGCAATGTGATCATGACTCATGGCCGCATCATGCCGGGCATGCCGCATCACCGTTCCCTAGTCGCTTCGCAACCTCAAGCAACGATGTGTGATATTGTGTGATCATGTCCCACGCCTGAGACTACATCTTCACCAAATTTGGGTAAAAGATAGTTACCTGAAATGACATCACTGTGATGATTCTATAATATTTTCTATAGAAGGAACACATCTTTCTGAAAAGTTTATTCTTGCAGCTTTATGAGAAATGTCACAGTGAAATCCCGAGAGAGTGCCCCCAAGCCATTGCCATGCAGGTTGATTATCACAAGCCGCCGCGAATGCAAATATGTGTGGCGTCCCCCACTCCCCAAAAAAGCAGAAAAGTATAGAAACCTATGATAACTGTGTTTTAATTATTAACTTTTCCATGTATTGGGGCTTACTGATTTTATATGCATATAAATATATAACGATTTATTGTATGTATGTGTGTGCGCGTGTGTAGCAACTCAAAATAGATGCAAAGTGGGAAACCTGGAAATACACTGGTAGGACAAAAGTTGCGCTTGTTGAGCTTCCTTTGCACACCGTTTCACCTCAGAATGCTAGCATGGAGCTTTGTCGTACCTCGGTCGAATTTTCACAGAAGCTTTAGAATCTTATCGATTTAAAAGCAGGTGACACTTGAGACCGTCCCATGCCACACAAAACGGACTTCGAAATGCAAAGATAGATGTTTGTTAAAGCTTTCAAAAAGCATAAACTGTGTTTCTCCTGAAGCATGAAGTGACTATCATCCATGAACATTCTTTGAAACCACTTGTTTAAATGTTTTGGGATGTTTTGGGGGTGAACACACACACACACTTACTCTCTGGTAATTGTGCAACGAAACTCACCATGTTTTCCAGATTAAATCAGTTGCGAATGGGCCTCAAAAGACCATAGCTAGTAATCTCCAAAAGAATAGACAGTCGTAATTCCCCATATTGCAATAGTGACTCGAGTCACTGCTTCACTGCATCTTTTTGGAGTTTTTCTGTTTTTTTTTCGGCAGTGGATCCATGGGGGGTTATCTACTCTCTGGTCACTTCACATATGGAAAATCACCAAGTCACCATGTTTTTATTGGCTAAGTTTATCATAGCTATGGAACCTCACCATGCCTTATTAAAGGTATTTTTTTCAGCCAATTCATCATGCTTATCATTTCTGGTTGGTGGTTTGGAACATTTTTTCCATTCAGTTGGGAAGAATCATCCCAACTATTCTTCCCAACTGACGAGCATATTTTTCAGAGGGGTAGGTATACCATGGTTCAAACCACCAACCAGTAATGTTTCTCATCTATAAATGGGCCATTTATACCATAGCTACGTTGTTTTTCCCCCGCTGTTCCCGGCGTTCCCCGGCGTGGCCGGTGAGGAAATGCCTGGGAAGCACCGGGGCCACCGACTTTGATGAGATCATCGGATTTCAGCGGCCCAACAAAAACCAGAACGGAGAAAGACCACCGGCGGTACGTCGTAACGCTTAGTGCTTAATTCATGTTTGATGTCAATGAAATGAATCTGGATTTTCTATATATATATATATGATATATATATATACATATATACAGTTTATTAATATGTTTTTTTTAAACATGGATTATATAGTTGTATATGTTTATAGGGCTATATAGGGAATTTGTGTGGAGTACAACACCTGGGTTGCACATGTGCTGTTATATATATATGATTATATTTGTGTAAATTTGATCACGACCTCTTTGGGACCGAAACCCTGGAATAATGCTAGGGAAATCATCTCACTAATGGCCTTATGAATAACTTCTCATAATTTACCCAGATTTAATGGTGATTTAACCAGCGACTGTGTTTTTTATTTTTATGATGGATTCAACCAGCTATGAGTTTCAACTATGTAAGGGTGATTTGAACAGCAATCCATGGGTTTTAACCACTAAAAACAGTTTGACTGAAACAAGACAGACGTGGTTGATTGGTAATTGCTGTCTCGGAGTTTCGCCGACATTCAACATCAATGGGTTTCATGAGTGACAGAAACTTGGACATATTTTTTCACCGGAGGAACTAACAAATGAAATAAAGAACAATGCAAAATGAATTTGGTGTTTGGATATCTCTTGGAAGGCAAAGAGGCCGGACAATTCCCCATTGGTCCATGAACAAATGGCAGTTCCATGTATTTCTCAGGTTAGCTGACCAAAGCTTACAGGGGCATGGGTCAGAATGCCACCCCAGGGTTGATAATTGTCCGTATGAAAATCACCATTTTGAGATAATGTTCTCTTTGTTAGGCAATTCCATGTTTTTTTTGCTAAGTGGAAGCGTGGAAATTGTGACTGGGTGAAGTTACCAGATGCGTGGCACGTCCCACCGGTCATCAAGTCTTGGGCACATTCTTCACATCAGCAGAATCTCACATAGTCCTTTCACACACACAGCTTACATGGATAGCTTAGTTGCCAGATACAGAATACCAGATACATAGTACGTCAATGGCTGAGTTACGTGACTCGGAGATCTTCTGGTTGCCCTGCAGTGTGCAAGTCACTAAAGTCCATACACTGCCGGATCTACATCAACCAACAAAAAAAGATTCCTAAAAAGTACAGAACGGAACAAGATGACTGGAGGTCAGGCCTATATTACACATTATATTATATGATATCTATAAAGAACTGTATATATGTGCATGTTCCTTCTCACACATTCGTTATATTCCAATATCACCCCAATGATCTTAGAATATCTGTATGTATGTATATATATATAGATAGATATGTGTTATACATATGTTTGTTTTAAATCCCAGGGAATATGAATCCCATTATATCATCCCTATATCATCCCGTCATCTCCCAGTCGCATCACTGGCGCCGCGACGTCCGAGGTTCTACCAGGGCTGGTGGGTCAATGGCGATCCCTTGCTGCCAGTGGTGGCGCCTGCGAAAGGTGTCCAGGCCAAAAACTTCGCAGGCGCGGTCGACAATCGCGACACGCGACGCCTGGACAACTGATGAGTTTAAAAAAGCGAAAAAAAGCTGTGATGTTATAACACAGAGTATAGATATGCATAGACTATGGCATAGATACAGGATGATATTAATGATGACATAGAAAGATGTATGTGTATATATATATATATATATATATATGTATGCATATATATGTAGACATATGTAGATATTTACGCCCATATTTATACAGGGAGAACCGGACTGGGAGTTACCAAATATGGAATGATCCTCCAAATATGCAGAGGTCCCAGTCTGGATTGTGGGTACTATCGACAATAGTGAGGATGTCACAATAATGTTGCAAATCTTGCAGGCATGTTTTTTGAGGGGGATGAAGTGGACAATTATACTGGTCTAACAACTTAAAACTGCCATATCCTGCAGGGGATCTTAGATTGGCCCCATGGGTATGGGTCAAATTCTAGCTGGGTAGTGATGGGAATGGTTCCTCCATTGAATCATTTGAATACATTTGGGGATTATTCATGGATATATTTGGCTAGCTTTATACATTTGATTTGGATAATTACTGTATATTTTCAATTATTTTCATAATTTCATATATTTGGTACTATTTGGGAATTATTTGCAACAACCAAGAGAGGAATAGTGCTTTTGCAAGAACAAGACTGCAGGCCCTTGTCCCACATATATACAAGAATAGAATTAGATATTGATGGACTACTACAAGCCAACACCTTTTGATTTCTGAAACTATACATCAATATTTGTGCATATATATGTGTATATATATATATACTATATCATATGTATAGAGTACATACCTGGTCAAAATCTTCGAAACACAAATCAACTGGGTTCAGCCAACTTGGCCCTCTGAGAGGACAGACGATATAGGGAAATCACCGAAATCTCCCAGTTCGATCGAGGGCAACTTCCCTTTTTATACATGTACTGTATCCATTCATATCGTGCGCACAGACACTGAAATGCATTTCGCAATGAACTAAATCAAATCATGCATTCTCATTCGAACTCTATACATAATAACTAAACATATACATACATATATATATATCTATCCATCTATCTATCTATCTATCTATCTATCTATCTATCTACATCTCTATATATCTATATCTATATATCTATATATCTATATATCTATATATAAATTACTTGATATGAGAGGCGCCCCATTGAGATTTTTGTCCCCAGTTCCGCAGTCCGCAGGATTTAGCTTGGCACCAGGCGGAGTCACGGCAGCCGGGCTTCTCCGCCCAGCCAGGATTTATGGTGGATTTATGGGGTCAATAAGTTATACCCGGCCTGGTAAACATACAAAAAACTATGGGACATCACCATTTTTAGTACGTAAATCAACTACGATTTAGGGCCATTGAAAACAAGAAAACTGTTAATCATTACCAAAGGGGATCATATTCTATGGTAGTTTTTTTTTTTGGATGGTGTCATCTATGATTATAACATTCTATATCCTCTGGTAAACTGTTACATCACTTTGGAAAATCACCATTGAAAAATGGGTAAATCCACTATTTCTATGGGCATTTTCAATAGCTATGTAAGAAATTACCAGGGTAAGCCAACTTTCCAAACAGGTGACAAAGGCCCTTCCGGCAGACGTTTAGACTTCTTGAGAAAGTGATTTAACCATTAAAAAACTGAATTAGCCTCTCGGGGGAAATCTACTGATAACTCCAGTGGATGGGTTGAAACAACCGATCACTTGCGCAATGTTCGCAGAACTGCATCTAGGAAGCGCATTGTTTAACTATGTTGATTTTCCTGAAATATTTCATCTTTAGAGTGCATTTACTTTATCATTTAACATTGATACAGTACTTGAATAAGTCGTGGGAGTTCCCCTTAAAAAGTCGCAGGCTATGCTGGGATGATCGTGACCAATCGCTACATCTTGGATGACCCAGCGAGGTTTTTGGGTGCCTTGCTCCGGGTTCAAGTGAGGCACCGGTGGGTTCAATTCACGGTACCACGGGATTCTGATTTTTGCTGATGTAAATGGCTAAATAGATGTAAAATGATGTAAATATATAGGGTGTATACTTCTAGTTTGCAGCTCTGGGTTTGCCACACTATAAGTTCGTGGGCCCATTCACATGATCAATTTCTTCATCACTGTGACGATGATTTGACTAAACTGCAAAGACAGATTAGTCTCAGGCAGAACACAAGAGATTTGCTACCTTGGTTGTGGCGCAATGAACTCCAGCACATCCTTCGAAGATTCTCCACACATCTCCACGCGCAGCTCTACCAGACGATGGATGAATCCTAACGTATGGATCTGAAAATGAAGTAATACCAGACACCCTCAATTCTATGGGACTATATATATATATATATATACATATACATACAATAATCATGTGTTGCTTTTGTTTCTTTTGAAATGGCAAGGTTGGTTAAACGCCGCTAAACCCTATTTTAGGACAAGAGCATACATAAGAAAATAGGAACCATAACGATCATGCAACATCTCCGAATGCATTTGTTACTATTCCGGGACCCGCATGTGGCAACTTGCAAGAATGATATGATTGAAGCACGTCAATCTTGGACGACGAATTCATCGTTTCACATTTTGTACCTAGACCCTGAGCATACCAGAAGCAGAAGAAAACACATACCTCATTTTGGAGCAACGTATTGATACCTGTACAGCACCCGACAGAATTATTGAAAAAAAAACGTTTCAATTTATAGGCGCCGCCTGTCTATGATAGAAAAGTTACGAACCTTTTTTTTTCCCATAATTATTGTTTCCATACGTTTTTCCCATAATTCTGTCGGTGACTGTATGTCCATCGATTCGCAATTTGAATGCATTTTAAGGGGGAATATTGAATTATAGAAAATATGTGTCTAAAGATCTGGTATATGCCCCTAAAGCTTGCCATTGATATACATAACAACTGCACCACCAAAACTCATTGTTGCACGTACATACATATGCGGGATGTTTCCTTTTGCCAAGCCACCAATTGGGTTGATACTACATACTTGCATTTGCATACATATTTCCATAACCCCAAAAAAAACGGGTTTGAATTGTGGATCCATGACATGTCCAACAGGTGGAGCCCCAAATATTAATTATGGAAAACATTATGAAAAACCGGTCAATCTGCCCTAGCCCCCTGATTTCACAGGAAAAATCAATTATGGAAATAATGGCCACTTCCAAGAATTATGGAAAAAAAAAGGTTCGGATCACTTCCGGGATATTTTGAACCCTTATGGGGAAAAATCCAATTATGGAAAAATCGGACGCAGGCGCCGCCTGTCTAAGTTGAACGTTTTTTTTTCCATAATTCTGTCGGTTACCATAATTTAAGTGTCTTTCCAGGTCTGTCTGACAATTGTTCATCCTAAGATCGAATGATCAATCGTTATACTGGTATCTCCAATTTTGCATACACGTTTAGTGTGTATATATATATATACATGCAAAACTAAGCTATGATCAATGGAACTCATGTTTTCATCATAGAGGCCGTTTCGTTATCCCATTACATCCCATTAATCCATGTTTACGTGTTCCTTAAAACTCGTCCAACATTTGCCATATCACGCACAAGGTGGTTCCGCTGACGGTTTGACCATGGGTGTGTTTCCAGTTCGCAAACGGTTTGTCATTACCAGAGAGTAACAAACAACTTTAGCTACAAACATTGACTTATTGACCATGGAACATATGAAACTGAAGCATGGTGGTTTATATGTTAAAGCCCAAACAGATATTACTCTCTGGTTATTTCACATCGCCATAGAACATGGCCCATAGAAATAGATGATAAACATGATGATTTACCTATTGAAAATTGTGATTTCCACTGGTTTTTGGTTGTTGACTCAGCCCAGGTGTGAGGGATTGGCTACCAAAGACCACCAAGGACGATCACTACGAGCTTCTCGGTTTCTGACGACGGCTACGACGGGATGTTGCGCGTGCTTGGCGTGAGTGTAGTTGATTGCTGATGTAATGTACGTATGTATGGAGAGCAAGTAATGTGTTGACGATATAGTTGCCAAAATGGCTATGCCATTTTGGCTCAAGTCCTCCCCTAGTGACTAAGTTCTCGAAAAACTCCCAACTCCCCCCTCTGGCCATGGCTGCTTCGAGCCCAGTGGCGAGCGAGAAGGCGAGAAGGGCACGATCGCCTCTTTTTCTCTCGTGGAAACAGCCGCGCCGGCCGAGGTAGAACCTGATTTTGTGAGTGATCCCACCATCACCAAGGAAACTTTGGCAAACCAACTGATGGAGATGGAGAAGGTGATGTCGGAGCTGGGCTTGGAATCGAAGCCTGGTGTGGGGATGGCAGCCCATGGCTCCAAGGTCCCGTACCATCGTCTGGCCAGGATCCTCTACCGACACCATGCAGACGCTCGAGAAGGAGACGGTGACCATCTTGGTGGACAAGCGTACGGGCACCTTCACCATCGAAGGTTGGGAGTCCCTACTGCCGGCTCTGCCTGAGATCTCAGCCAAATTCGCCCGAGCCATCACACACCGGGAACTCAACTCCCTTCTGACTGCTTTTAAGTCATCGACCTGGACGGCATCTTTGGTCGCAAAGATTTTGGAAGTCTACTGCATCGCCAAGAGGGAGGCCTCCCACAATGAGATGCTGAAGGTCCGCCACACCACCCAACGTGGGGGATCCATGATGCAGTTGAACGAGAAGGACCCGGGGACGGCCCCAAAATTGGTTTGCTCAGACTGCAGTGCACCCTGGGGATCTTTGTCAAAATGCCTTCTTTGCAAGGGTACTTCCCCAGTTGATTTGAGTGCAACCCCTCTCTCGGTCATTGAGGTGGATGGCCAGACCTGGCAACTAAGGCTCCCTCAGTTGCCAGGTCTGGCCATCCACCTCAATGACCGAGAGAGGGGTTGCACTCAAATCAACTGGGGAAGTACCCTTGCAAAGAAGGCATTTTGACAAAGATCCCCTTCAGCCCTGGAGATGCTCGGCACGTTGATTCTGACCCACTTCCTTTTGACTCTGGGTGGGAGGTCGTTGCTCCGCACTCGACTCAGTCTCATTTCCGACAATCAAGGCAACATTTTCGTCCTCTTGAACCAGAAGACGAAGCACATGCCAACATCGGCCTTCCTTATGCAGCTCATCGTCAGGATCCATGCTGCAGGGGTTCAATTGGCACCTTCGCACATGAAGAGTGACTACAACCAATGGACCGATGAACTTACCCATCCAAATTTCACTGGCTTTCGCCCTGACCGGCAACTACCAGTGAGCGAGGCCTTTTCCCATTTTAAATTTCTGTGGGCTCTTCATCTGGATGACCAGACAATTGCCCCTAAACCTTCGGGTAACAATTCCAAACGTCGTAAGACCGACCACAACGCCACCTAAGGTCCACTGGAGCCAGGTGGCTGCGGCTGACTTTCTTTTGACAGTGGTGTTTTCCCACCTTAACAACCCTTTTTTGGATTCTCCTTTGCGCGAGCTCAACGCTCCGGCGGGTTGGGTGGATTAGACGTGTGACACCACCACTGTATCTTGGGGTTTCAGATGAAACCAGTTTTGTGATTGATGCGTCTGGCATCTGACAGAAACCCAGCCGCACCAGCCAACTGCATAGCAAAAGTGCCGCCAGCTTGCTGCAGTTGCTTGTGTTTGGTTTCTGACATTTTCAAGTCTATTCGGGAACACACACACATATATATATATATGATATACGTGTTTCACATAAGTCTAAATATATAACTAATTATATATATATAATGTCAACGTAGGATTAATCAACCGCCCCCCCCCCACAAGGTAGGTATATACCTTGTAAGGTCTTTCCTGTAACCCCCCTAAATAAACGGCCCCTGAACCATAACATTTTGGAAATGGTTTGAAAACTATTGGCTGAAAGCTATGGAGGACATTGGGAATGAATAGGCGACTCCAAAGAAAAAACATTAGGAACATGGTGGTTGATTAATCAGGGGCACACCTTGATTATTATTATTATTAATGGGGGACATGGGCTCATGGGGGGTACCCTTTGGGAGCTATCCAAACTGATGATTTTTATAAAGAATTTAATTAGAAATCGATCATTTGGGGAATAGTTGTTTTTTCAAATTTTCAATGATCAGCAGTGATGGGTTCTGGTGTTCACGCGGTTTCAACTGAAATATAGCAAAAGGAAACCAAAAGGACACCAATTGAAACTTTTGGATAAAAAAATGATTTCAGCACTGGTGGTTGATTAATCATCCCAGGCCAAACGGTTTATTAATCCAGGGGAACCACCTATTTTAAATTACATTTTTTTAGGGACGGTGGTTGATTAATCGGGAGGGATTAATTAATCCTACCTTGACATTATTATATACGCACTAATTTGAATATATATATATAATATATATATGATGTATGTATACAAACGCAATTATTAGAAGGTGTGTTTCAAGCGTGAATATTTATATATTATGCACATATCTAGACAGAGATTGAGAACATGGGCAACTGGCTAATATTCTAGCCAGTCATCAAGATGTCTCAGTTGTACAATCCAGCGATTCGAGCTGGGAACTGGGAACGGTTGATTGATTGGCTGTACATACCCCCTGGTAATGATTAACATAGCTATTGAAAATTGCCATTTATAGTGGATTTTCCCATTAAAAATTGTGATTTTCCATAGTTATGTTAGTTTACCAAAGGGTAACCAATGTCAATCCATCCCATTTTGTTGGGTCGTTGTTGTGACCGATACCCTTGAGGTACACAAGGACCCAAGGATAGAAGCAACATGAACCACCAGGGACTGGACTTTTTTCGCGGAGGACTCTTTTTAGGTCTTTCTGATCCTAAGGCCCGTTGCAAAGAAGTGAAAGGGGATTAAATGGGGATCAAATACCACCATTTATAATCATTGGCAGCTATTTAAACCATCATTATATCTGTTGTTATACTTTAGATATTTTTAAAGCAACAAAATGGGGCGATTTGTTTGACCAAAACATAAAAGGTGGGTAAACCCAATGGTAAACATGAATAAACCTACCATTTGGCGAGGGTTTACAACCCATTTCAGCTCGGAAAAACAAGGCTTCTACAAGGTGGGGGCCCTCCAGTCAAACGTTGGTTTCAAAAAATCATCCAAATAAGTTATGACATGTTATAACTACCATAAGCATCCATTTATGATCATTTATGCCATAATTCTGCTAGTTGCATTTTATCAAACATACAGTATTCAACTTCTATCGTTTGGGGGTGTTACATTGTTACACCTTGGTTTCGAGTAAGCCACAGCTGAGAAAATCCCAGGTGCAACTACATCTACAAAGGCTCCCATGTGTTGGCAACGATGGTGATTCTTCAGGTCGCTCGGTGCTGACGGTGCTGAAAGCTCGCTTGGTGAGTTTACCAAAGATGTGGATTTAAGCATCAACCATTGGCGATTTAACCATCAATTTTTGGTTGGAGAACTGAGCAAAAAACGCAACGGTGGTTTAAATCGGGGATATCCTGTCAATTTTTGATTGGGAATATGAAAAAAACATATATTACCCTCCAGTAATCAAACACTGGGAAACCCTCATCACAAGTGGAAGTTTTTTCAGGAGAAATCGTCGAATTAAGTGTGCCTTCTTTTTCTCCAGCCATGTTTGATTACTGGAGATTTCTGGTGAATTAAATCCAGCATGTTGGTATTTCAAAAGAAGGTAGTACTGGCTGGAGATATGCTGGGATCTAGTTAATGCTTGTTTCATCGTTTCACCATGGTGAAATTTCTCAGGTTGGCACTCATCAACTCCCTGAATGGGTGAAGCAGTTGCAGATGTCAGTGCACTGAATATGAATATATAATTATATATATATATACAAAAATAGTCAATGACACCTATATATATATACATATACATCAGAAGTATACACACATGTACATTATATATATATACAAAATTTAGATATATGCTCTATATATATACTATATACATATGTGATGTATATATGTGTATATATATATATTTATATACTGTAGATCTGTACACGCATTCTTTAAGAGGCATCCAATCAGTGCAGGGGCAGTTCCCGGAACTCACAGCCGAGCTGGCGGAAGCTGACAAGCTCAAGGCGGCCACCTGATAAGCTTCTTTCCAAGCCCTGTTGGTTGGTTATTTCATGGTGATTTTCATGATGTTTGACTGGTGTTCAATGGTGATGGTTTATTGGTGATGATTTTTCATGGTGTGAAACTCATTAGGATTTTCATGGATATCCCTCCCAACAGAATGTTTCAATGTTGAATGGTGTTTTTAATGGATATACCCTTTGGTAATACAACCTGGCTGGAAACCCACTTTTTTGTTCGATGATTTTCCCAGCTATTCCAAGCTATAAACCTTCATTTGTAGGGATTTTTCATTGCCACGTTTGATTACCAGATGGTAGTGACAATTACCAGATGTTAGTGATAAATGGTTGGTTCATGATTCGTTCGGCAGTTATACTCTCAAATATATTGAAGATTTTCATCATCCAAGAACTCATAAATCCTATTTGCCAACTCGTGTAAGAAGTGCTAGTCAGTTTTGAATGGATTTTGAATTTAGCCTAGTCAAGGGTGCGTCTCGAAATTTGGAGACGAAACAAATTAGGGATTTATTTTGACCGATCAAAATGTGGACCACATATATATATACATCATTCAATAACTTCTGGGGATTTTAACCATTATGCTATTAAAGCCCGGGTTTTGTATCGTTGTTTGTGTTAGTTAAAACATGGTAAACTGGGCATGACTAATTGTCGGATTCCTACTCTGCGGAGGTGGTGATTTTGAGAAGCGTTTGAGTTAGGGGATGGCCAATGTTGGTCACCCAAGTGGGTCTGTTTGAACATAGTGTACCTCCAAACCTACTAGTTTTATAAAATATATTAAAAGTTCACAAATATTTTCCCTATTGCAATGGCTATTGGATGTGTATACACCATTTTCAGACCTACGTCGAAGAAACTCTTAGGGCTTAGTTAGCTGGTCTCAGCTGTGCCAACAGCACAGATTTTCCAGGCCTGGACACCCGTTGGCGAATATTGGGTAGGTTTGTTTATGACTAGCTGAAAAATGGATTGGGTTTTGTTGGGAACATCTACAGGAATCGCATGGAATCAATGGTTTTCTGTAGGTCTCCCGGCTCTTTTTTGCAACCAAATAGCAATCCATTGAAACTCGAAGTGCTGCTCCACTTATAGCCCAACAATATGATAGTTATACATAGTTATACGGCTTATATGTCAACTTATGGGGCTGATGTGTTGATAGCCATGGTTAGGTCGGCACGGCGTTCCTGGACCAGGCCGAAAAGCATATGAAAGCGCACCCCTTGGAGAAGCACCTGTCGGAATGTTTGGCGGAGTGGAAGATGTACATCAAGATGATGAAGGCTGCGAGAAAAGATAAAGTGCAAAAATGTTGATGTAGTCATTCAGCAACACAAATAGGGAAATAGGATAGGAATGGGTTTACAGGGGTTTAAGAAAGAATATGATTAACAAACAAATAAATGGATGATGAGTCAAGATAGGTCGGTCAAGGAGAGTTCATATGCATGTTTTTTTTTGCAGCTTTACTAGGCCCGTTTTGTGGTGAGTCGTCAGCAGCGGCCATCAGAATCCACGAAACGGCCCTTTTTTTCCACGGACCCCCACGAAGTCTGCGAAGGGATGTTGCCAGAAATTGTTGTGAACCGAACCATCATCCAATCAGTAAAATATGGAATATCCGGGGGTAACATTGCTCAAGTGGCCCAGTAACATTGATATATTAATTATGAGCTATAATTGATGGGATATGAATATAAATATATATATATATATATATGATGTGTATAAGATTCTATCCGGATGCTGATGTTCTCTCTCTCTCTCTCTTTTTGTGCAAACAGTTTGGTCACTGTTAAGAAGTGTTCCCAGACACGTCCCTATGTTGTTGTTGTTGTTGTTGTTGTTGCTGTCTTTTTTTTAATGGGAACACAGCACAGTTTCTCACCACAATTGGCACCCCAAAATAGATTGATTTTAGATGCACTTAGCTTCACGCATAGACATGCAAGATAATGGATGTGCATTTCCTATGCACACACATGTACAGTGCTGCAGAGATTAGCGTCCCCTTCTGAACACACATGCGCAGATCTCCAGGAACTACGGACTATGTAGACATGCTATATATATATATATATATACACAAGAATTTGCACCATTTGTGTTACATATGTATGGATGCATGTGTACAAATGTAAATATATATATATATGTATGATTTCAATCTATGTCATGCATTATTCTATTGGTTTATCCTACATGGTTCTGTTTTGCATATATTGTGCATACATTATGGTAGTATGAATGCATAACACACACATATACATATACATATGTATATTTTTCATTATATATATATATGTCATAGATTAATGCGTGTATATATATATACATATATATGTGATATCTATATAAACATATATATATACATGTATGTGCGTGTGTGCGCACATTTATACACATATAACTAAATAAACAATTTCGGTGTACAAAGGTGTAAGCACCAATAAATATAGACTATTTAGATTTGATTGAACATTATCATTATTTACTATGGCCAGGACCATGGCCAGATTGCAGCTGATGCAGAAGAGATTGAGTACCCCTATACCAAGGTGCGCTGCCGATTAAATGGCCAATTCAATTGGGAACATGATGATTTTGTAGGGTATCAATCAACATTTTCGAATATAATAGGGATTTGCCATGATTTAGCCATACTTCGGGGTGCAGTTGGGGACACCCATGGGCATAGACATAAGCCACAGAGATTGAGATATAAACTTCCTAATTGGACATGTATGGGCATTGACCCATGCAAACTAATATAATTATATATATATATGTATACAAGTGGATTTGCACCCCCTATCAGATCCGACCCCTTCTCCTGCGGATGATAAGAGAAACAGTCCCAGAAACCATGGGAATGTTCACGATTCGGAGGTCCGATGGAGTTTTTTCGGGGGGGTTTTGTGAGAATGGGATGAGTTCTTGTAGGTGCAAGAAGGTGAATTGAAAAATCAACATCAACGCAGGTCTTAAAACATTCTAGTGTGAAACCAGCATGATTAGTTGCTAAATACACTAAATTAGATTGAAACCACCAACTTCTTACCAGAGACTTTCCCGTTTTCTTTGAGGATATTGGAATGCTGCCGGTCGGATGTCAGTTTCCTGGTTATCCGGTATATAAACCTTTTGTTTGTTTGTACAAACTATCGTTGTTCAGCTCTAGTTTCTTAGGTTCAGTCTATCCATTTCATTAAAAGCAGCATTTGCGGGATCAAGCGTGATTTTTGTCGCCATCTACTTTTTGGTTCTTTTGAAAGGATCCATTCAAATGTTTTGGATGAGGTTGACCTTATCATTTTTATGTGTGTAACTGGTGTAGCTGTTTTTTGTTTTTGAATCCCGGTGGCTCGTAAGGTCCCTTTCTGGTTGCCATCAACCGACCTGCCATAGGAAAACATCGAAGAAATGTTGGGACGAGCGGAAAAGACCATTTTGGAGGACATGCCAATTTGGTCTTGGTGAATTAATACCACAGTTTCAACGTTTCAACGTCACTGAAACTGATGGTTAGCGCATGGGTAACCATTCCAGGATGACCAAACATTTCAGGTATAATTAATTATTGTCTTTCAGGAAGGTGGGAGAGTGCAGCTTGAGTGGTGGCCCTGGTGGGACGTTTGTGGATCAGCAACAGTGAGGAGAAGTACAGAGTCTCAAGATATGGGTGGGACAGGATAGAGGCAACTAGAAATTAATCTCCATGAATTCACCATGCATCTGGAAACAAGACGAGTCTTCGGGCGAGCTAGCTGCCCCTAGATTCGGCTCACAACCAATGTGCTTGCGGTCCAGAGGTGCATGAAGTAAAATGGTGAATTTGTGTGGGCATTAAGATCTGGGATAATCTTTGTGTGGGCAACCTTGCAACTTGGAGGATAAATACCCCAGGTACATCCTGTTACAAATATGACATATAATCTACTATATTATATATATAAAAATAATCATAATTCATATCAATATTAACAATAATAATAATATAATAATGTTGTATACTATATTTTCATATATAAGCATACGCATACATTACCATGACTATTTGTTCTTCGACTTCTAACATCGTCCCAGTTTATGTTGTTACCCCTTGTCCTGTGATCACATCTCCCCGCCATAGGCCACAGGGGTGTACTACCGTAACTGACTTTCTCGTGGGAAAGGGGGTGCCTGCAAACATTGGACTATATACTATATTTGATGGTCATGAACAGGTAACTAAAGAGGTAACTATCCCCCAATGGCCTTCATGATGCTTTTGGTGAAGGTCTTTTGTTGATATGTGATGCCGATGATGTAGTTATTTTTGCAGTTTTAGATACATAGATGTACTACTTTAGATGCATACTGACACACTGTAAGTCTATAGTCTTTCTTGGGTAATTGACATACAAAGGAGGTTCCCTCATGGTTTTTTCCTTCGAAAAGCTGCCTTTTTCGCTGTCGATTTCTCGTCAGGACTACGAGAAAGCCATGGCCAAGATGGCAAAGAAGGTCGGGAGGATCTGGTGTCACTGGATGCGCATCTCACTGGATGTAACCTGGGGGGAACCTTTTGAACCTTTGGGAGTGCAATAGTTTGCTATGGAAAATAACTTTCAATAGGAAAATCTATATATAGTCACTTTAAATCACCTCTAAGTTAGATTCACAGGGAGTGATAACCTTTGCATTTGAGTACCATCCCCTCAACCAACTGTGTTTTTTAAAGGGATTATGTTTTCGACACCCAGGGTCTGTGTGAAAATTTGGGTGATGGCTAACCAAAGTGGGGCCCTCAAACGATGGCTAAGTTGGTGAACATAACTCCAAAGCACTTGGCTTTACGATACGCAAAACGATAGTGTCAAGTTCGTTTGGATCTAGCCCCTCCAGAAGGTCTAGATCCTTGAGAAGGTTCTCACCCCCAAATAATGACCAGCACAACCAACAACGGGATTCATGAGTTTTCATTACGAATTTTAAGTGAGAAATTATAAGTCACTTTTAATTTACTTTCCTTTCAAATCTAAAGGCTAAGTAAGGATTTCAGAGAGCGATGGAGAGAGAGAAAGTAAGGATTTCAATTGAAATCAAATTGCGTTCAATTGATTCTCTTTTGAAATCTAAAAAAAGTACAACATTCAATTTAAATCAATTTACCTTCAATTAATTTTCCTTCAAATCTGAAGGATAAGTAAGGATTTCACTTGACATCAATTTATGGCCAGGGGGGCTGATGGTGTTTTGTAATTGGGGGTGCACATGCACTTTTTTTGACGGAGGGGGGGCAATCCACCTAAAGGTGTACCCTTTGTGAGCTTCTCAAAATACATTTAAAAACAAATCAGGAAAACATGCGTTTTTTTCAATCATAAATTTTGGGATTTTCTTAGATTTTCGGGATTCTGTGCCTTGAATCTCTCCAAAACATCCATATATAATTATATATCTCCAAAATATCAATATTTAATTAAATGTAAATAAATAAATAATTAAATAAATATATAAATCAATAAATATAAAGCATCTCCAAGATCAGAACCCAAAAAAAACTGTTCACCACCAACAACAATAGGTTTTCTAGAAGTGTGTATTATAATAGGGGCTGTCGCACATGTTTTTGAATAGGGAGTGAGGAAGCCAAAGTAGTATTGCCACACATTTTTTGGAACGTGGGTGTTGATAAACAGGGCGTGTTTAATAATGTTGATGGGATTTATAAAACAACGTGTAACTGAAGATCCCACACTGTAGATATATCTACAGTAAATAACTTGATTGCACCATGGTTATATGCATGGTTATGCTATGTTTTTTTCGAACCGCTTACTGAATGCACTTCCGATACCTCCAAGAATAGAAGTAGTTCGGGAGCAGTTTGGAGCCCTGAAGTTCAGCCTCGCCGTGTTCAGCCTCTTCAAGTTGTGCCCCCCTGATAGTTTAAGAAGGTGGTGTCAAAAAAAGGTGGCCCCCAAAACAAACGATGATATGGAATAGCAATTTTATGGTTATGATCATGTCCTCGGGACTGATGATTTCTATTTGCTGGGATTTTTTCCTTGGCGAGATGTACACCAATTGGATAAACTATGATAAATATAAAACAGCTTTCAACTGGGGGAGCCACCGTATGTGAGTTGGGGAAGAACGAGCTGAAACGAACTGTCAAGACCACTGTCAAACTGGATGAGTGAAAATTGGTATGCCGCGGATGCCATGCCAGAAACAATGGTGGTAAAGATCTTTTGGTATAAAGACCAACTACTGGTTCATTGATAGATTGCTTCAAGTCATTTTGCTGCGCATTCATTGGCATTCTGAT